ATACAGCGTTGCCATGGTACAAATGTTGTGGTGAATGTTCTTCATTGATGGTCAAGTTGCGAAATTACGCACTCGAAGTTTTCTCTTTTTATTTGAATGGGTCGAGAAAATCGAGGGTGACTCATTTTGTCACACAAAACACGCCAAAAAACGTTCTTCGCTGAACTTTACAAGCTTAACCTTGCTGGAGAAACTTTTTACTTCCGGAATTAAATAAACTTGGCTATATCTGATTTTGAAACACACAACTTTGAATAATTTATTCGACAGGCGTTTTCTTGAAACTTAAAAACTCACACATTATGCCCAACAGCATCCTTTCCAAGTGCGAGTAATTTTTTTAAAGACATAGAAGACCGGGTTTTCTTCACTAAAAATTTTATAAAAATGGTGAACACTGAATAATTACGTCGCCATTCAAGAAAACTAGAACTCGGATTGCATTTTTACGTACTGTTCCTTGATATGAAGATATTTGAGTATAAAGTTTACTGAATCAGAATCTTTTTGAGGATCAAAACTACCCCGGATTGAAAAGCAAGAAATCAAACTTATCTTATTTAATGCGCATTCACTTCACTTGCAGTATCACTTAAAAGAGGTTTCAATTATGCTTTTAAATATATGGCAGTACTTCAAGTACAGTGGGGCCCCACGAAGTAAAAAAAAAAAAAAACCTGCATAATTCGAATTTCCAGTTAATTACCAGCCAATTACCTCAAGTCCAATGCAAATCAAACTTGACTTGATACTTTTTGGTTCAAACCACCGTTATTCGAATTTCGGAGGTATTTTGTCAATGAATTGGGGACAAATTTTAGAACAGCTGTTCCAGGAAAGAAAGAAAAAATATGCGCCTTATTTTTAAAGCTCTTTACAGAGGATCAGGCATATTTCAGCAGGTCTCATACTTGAGACCTGCACTAAATATAAAAACGCGTAAATTTCGATTTTTTTTCGCTGAAAATGCCCTAAAAATAATCACCAAATCTTTCACTTCATATACTCGTATTTTTCCCCCGCCTTGAAAATCAGCGTGAATACGGGACAAAGCTGAGGAGCATAAATAAATTCCCAAAATGAGTCGAGAAATTCACGCACATTCTCAAGCAACTGCCGGCCCAAGAAAAAGAGCCTCGTACAATCCCTATGAGATTACATCAACAATTCCACCCGAGCCGGCATTTGATGAATGCTTTCCCATGGAATGCACTCCCATCATGCCCTCAGGGGGTAATTCTATCGGAAATGTTAATCTCGCGCCGCCGGCAACGCGTCTCTTTTCCAGACTTAGTTTATACCCGAGCCGGCATTTGATGAATGCTTTCCCATGGAATGCACTCCCATCATGCCCTCAGGGGGTAATTCTATCGGAAATGTTAATCTCGCGCCGCCGGCAACGCGTCTCTTTTCCAGACTTAGTTTACGACCGACTGGCTGTTTAAAAATATATATAATAACCCATTTCCCCTCGACATCAGCTGATTGAAACGGACGAGGAGAATAATATTAAAACTTTCAAAAGCCGAAAAAGTTAGTTTCTGTGGATAACAGGATGATGAGTATTTTCTGGTTCCTTCAGATGAAATACTCAAGCAGAATTTCAAGAAGAAATTCAACAAGCAGCTTATTACGTAAGTAACTGCAAAATTTCCAATTTTGGTAACACTTTGAAATTTCGGTTCGAAGTCGACTTTGTAATTTAAATTTAGAGACGGACCGAAACCAGGATTTTTCTGTGCCAATACTCACATATGTACACTATTGAAAGCCTTCAATTATTCCTTCTTCCAAATAAATAATTTTCAATAGCCCCCGAAATAAAATAAATAAACATATTACAAAAACTAGCTTAATTATAAATATTAAATCTCTTTTAACTCGAATGCCTCCCTGTGTCAATTTTTTTTTAATACAAAAATCTCTACCTGAATTATCTTGCACACGAAACACAATAAATGAATGAATTAATTAATTAAATAAAAATAATATAATAAATTAAATTAAATAAATAAACACAATAACTTAAAACCTCTGAAACTCGAAGGCTTTTTCCTCAAGCCTCCAAAAATCGAATTTTCCCGAGGGCTTCTTGTTATTATTTAATTGAAACAGGGAAGAGAAAAGCAATAAAAATGTCCCTTGATGTGTTTTGAAAGGAAAGTAGGACTTAACTGGGCAAATAAATCCTTACCTCCAAGTTCAGCACCCTGTCAATTCATTCATGAAGCAATTTAAGGCCTATAATATCAACAATCACAATTTCCTGTAATTCTTCTATCTCCTTAAATATTTTTTTATGCTTGAAAAGGTTAGACTACAGCTTGGCCTACAGCAATTTGGAATCAATTGTGAAGTATTAATCTCGAGGTGTCAATCATTCTGAAATCGGTTCCCACAAATGAAACTTTTTCTCGATTTACATGAACTTGAAAGAAAAAAAAATTAGCCGATGCTGGTTGATTATAAAGGATATGTTTGATCAACTGCTGGTTGAGGTCGTTATCTTAACAAGCAACCGAAAGGAAATTAATCGCTTTCTATCGATTCCGAGAGGTCATCGTGAGATAGACTTGATTTCTTTAATCACTTTAGATCGTACCCGACGATATTTTTTGCTGGTGAGCCAGCCCGTCAGTTCCTCGTTAGTGGTTCTCCTTCGCCAGAAAATCTTACGTAATTCTTTTCAAATTTCTACGAAGCTACTTTCTTTTAATGACTGCAAGGGTTTTTTCGAACGTCCTGCGCAATGACGAAAAACAAAATCGAGGAATTTTCATGCCTTTCAGAAACTTGTTTTCGGCTCACAAAAACTCTAGTACGCAATTTGGCCAAAATAATTTTTTACGCCGCAAAAATTTTCTGCAGGGAATAACGCGTTTTCTCATTTGTCAACATTTTCGGGATGCATAAAAAAATTCCTAAATAATTAGATGACCTGCCTTGGTACAAAAGATGGAAATTTTTAGAGGCGTTACGTAATTGGGGTAAATTATTGCTTTTATCGACTTTCTCAAGAAATCGTTTTCAAATTGAAACAGCCGCTAAATTTAACATTGTGGTTGCTAGAGAAGATACGATTGGCCTGAAGAAGAAAAAAAAATACCGGGAAGTCTGGGTCCATTATGCGGGAAGTCCATCATTCGAGGCTTCCATTCCCGTTTACGCTTCTTTCGAGCACATCCTTATCGCAGTTGTTCACCGAAGAAAGGGTATTGGGATGACCTTATGTAACTGAAAAAATTCCACAGTCGAACACCATAAACATACAGAAGGCAAACTAATGCAAAGCATAATAAAAGCAGGAAACTCGCGACGTCCCAAGGCTACACCAATTAAAATTCCTACCCTCTGAATGTTGGACTAATACTTTATTAATTTCCCATTTCCCTTTGAATTTCCAACCTAAGTATTCGAATCAACTGTGATTTCAACTTAAAATAAAGTACAGTCGGTACATTAAAAAACAGCAAAATTATATAATCAGAAAGACAAACTGAACTCAGTCAAGATCATAAAATGGTTCAAGCATCATTTGCAAATCATACTTGAAATTACATTTTTCAGTTCAACATGAATATTTTTTAGATACTTCAATTTGTTCCTGCATTTTGCAGCCCATTTATCAAAAAATGAAACATTTTTTGAAACTCAAGTTCATCATCCGAGGTACCGGTGTACATTCACCCTTTCCTTGAAGGTCGTTCACCGAAATAAAACAAAATTACGATATGAGCTCATTCAACACTACAAATTCCCTAGTCCTACAACATGAAACTATACCAGGACAGCTCCAATAAAAAATACTTCAAATTTTTCACTGTCCAAACAAAATTTAAAATGGTATAATACCTGTGATCGAGGATCACAAAATAATAAAAATAAAAATGCAGGCAATCAGTACGTAAGGCCAAGAACACATCTTCAAGGGGTTTCCTTGAATATATGTTCCTAGTTTTTCAATAATTTATTTTATGATCCAGTTGAATGCAAAGAATAAGAATACTATGCACAAGACGGATTTGAATAATAGCACAGGAGTAACAAATTTGTGCACACAAATCACCAGGATTAAAAAGACAATTGTTGTTGAGAATTTAGGACAGACTGAGACTCTTAAAATCGAATTATTTGTAGTTTTGATTGAGGAGGAAACCTTCATTGGTTTCTTCTCTTGTTTTCTCTTTAAAAATACCTAAACAAATCTTCATAAATCAATCTACACATAATCGCATGTTTCACACTAACGACCAAGAAAAAGAAAAACCTACACAGAAACCATCACGAAAAATCTTCCATCGACTTAAAATTAAGACTTCCTCAAATGTTTCTCAAAAATTCGTTATTGCGCAGCATATTATCCGAAGCAGGAAATCTACGAAAGCCCGAAATTTCATCACGCAAAAAGTCCATTATCCGGGGAAACCACTGCCCAACAATCTCTTCAAACCCCTTCGTTCGAGAATAATTCACACACAAAAAAAAGAAGGGCGAGGAATCAGCTTACGTAACACAAATAATCCTAGAATTCTAAAACATGCAGGCAAGCTCCAAGTCGAAGAATAAATAAAATAAAAAATTCCAATTCCCCGCCCGAGGCTATATATGCTCCAATCAAAAATAATATATAATGGCTACCAAAGCCAGACAAACCGCCGGCATTTTTATGCCACCAAGTCGACAAACTCGCATCAGACGTGCGCAGAATCGATAAGCCAATGATTGATTGTTGCCGGCGTTCGGAAGAGAAGAAAGACATGAGAAGAAAGGAAAGAAACAGACACGGACATCAGTATAGGATCATCATCAATTCATTCGTCAGAGAGAGGCAGTATTTCGAAAAAAAATAAAGGAAGCCGCCGCCGCCGCCGCGCGGAACATTAAAAATGGACGATTGCGAAGAAAAATTCGGCGGCTCTGATGCGTTTGGGGGTGCCCATGGTCTCGATCACCGGTCAGCAACAAGGAGCAAAAGCATCATCATCATCATCATCATGCTCTCAAGGCGTGATGCCCAGCATGTCCTCAATCTGGCCCAACAGGGTTCCCAGAGACTGCAGCGCCATGTCAATCAACTGCTGTTCCCAGTCCTCCACAGACTGGCTTTGCTGGATACATACAGTGGAATCTCGTTACAACGAATAATCGCTTTCAAAAATTTCTTTCTCACGTCCCTGTCCAATAGCCACGATGTTGAATTTATCGGTGCAACCAAGCTATTTACAGTTGAATCTTGTTACAAAAAACACCAAAAAAACAAAATTTTCAGCATAACAAACTTCTTTCCTAGGCCCAACAGAAATCCTATAGGGTACATGTTATAAAATATCCTTGCAACAAACTCTCCAATACAAATACAGTATAACAAAATTTAAGATAAACAAGTTGAGATTTTCTCAATGAAAAATTTGGAATTAAGGCAGGCTCAGCCTCAAATTTCCCATTCAAAATGTGACTGTGACTGGTTCTTGGACAGAGGGTGGAACCATGGACAGAAATTCTTCAAAATGCACCTGTACATTTTCTCTTTCAAAATTGTTCTCATGGGTTAGGAATATGGGGAGGGGGAGATGAAGAAGATGAACCCATCAAAACTCATTTTAAAAGGTGTTTTGTATGTTTGAGAAACCCTACCAATGCTTAAAAACGGTAAGCTTTCAAAGTCCACAAAAAGTGCTGAAGGTTACCTGTTATTGAGAGTAAATGTATTCTATTAATTTGCATTTGTTTGATGATCACATTTTTTTCAAACTCTGAAAAACATCAAAAAAGGCCACAAAAGGAAGATATTGAATATATACTCAGGTTTAATAAAAAAAATCTTCCCATCAGTCAATAATTTTGAATATCTTCCTACAACAAATTACTTTACTTGCTTTACCAAACATTTTATGAAGTCTCCGCAAATTTGTAGCAAGGAGATTATACTGTAGCAAGACGCTGAAATGCGGATGTACTTGGTGCTCGGACCTTGTCTGCACGTTGGATCACAATTTCCAATAGACTTCAATGGGAACTAACTTAACTGGTTCTCCAGTTCATAAATAAATTAAGAATAAATCCCCCAAAATTTAATAAAATGTGGTCATCAGCTTGAAGATACAGAAAATAACTGTACAGAAGTAAACCATGCAGAATCTGATTTTTTGGCAGCAAAAGGACCCCAAAAAGCAAAGAAAAGGTACTAGTCTTGCTATACTGCACTGTGCACACATGGCGGAAAATGATCAAAAAATCAAAAAATGAACTGTTATTGATTATAAATTTGAGTAAATTAAAGATAAAATCATTCAAGATAAATACTGTAGCTCAATTCGTTCAAAAGCTACCCAAATTAAAAAATTAAAAATTTTATATTTGTTCATTTAAATTGTCGGAAAAGTGCATTGTCCGGATTCCGGAACAGGTTTTCAAAGTTTCTAGTGCCCCCAAGTCAAATCGTCCGTATGTTGGGACATCCGCATATCAGGGTCTCATTCTATTCATCTAGAACTAGACCCACTGGCTTCGTTGTAACGAGATTTTACTGAATACAAATGAATGCATTACAGAAGAAGAAAGTCGGAAGGAAAGGTTCACATATGGTCTATAGAGGAAGTGGTGCAAATTCCTCCTACACAGAACTGCTACCTCGGATAACGGACGCATATCAAAGTATTCAAAACAGTTTACGGGACTTGGATGCGCAAGGAGAAAGCATTGACCTTTTTTCTTTCTTTCGGCGCAGTTCTGGCAACTCGGATAATGGATCAATAATTTTTCGGAGCTTTTGGAGAAAGAAAAAAAGAGAAAGTAGGGATGGATCAAGCTTCTTTTCTCGTCAGTACAGTTCTGGAACCTCGGATAATGGATAACTTATCAAGTATAGTGGTGGTTCTTGCATGGATACAAAAAAAGAAAGTCGTAGAGATAGCTTAACCTTCTTTTCTCGCCAGTGTAACTCTGGCTCCTTGGATAATGAACAAATAATTACAGTATTTTTTTTAATCAGGATGCAAAAAAGGCATATTAAGATGCACGGTATAACCCGACGTTTTTTCCAGTTAGTACCACTCTGGCACCTCAAAAAAATGTCCAGCTCATTATTCGGTTCCTTTCGAATACAAAAAGAGAAAGTCGGATCAATGGTTCAACCTTTCTTTTTTTGTAAACGTCTGACATTCATAGATACAAAATTATTCATAGATAATGAATAATTTTTCTTCACAAGTATTTGTATGAAAAAAAGTAGGAGGGATGGATCAAGCTTATTTTAGTCTCCGTGACAGTTCGGGTACTTCATATAGAAGAGAATTCATTATTTGGTAGCATTTGGAGGGGAAAAGAGGGAGAGTAAGAAATATAATTCAGTATTTTTTCATGCATTGTTCTGGCACCTCTGATAATGGGTATGATTAATATTTGGTACTGGTTATAGATGCACACACAAAAATTAGAAGGATTCCTCAACACTTTTGGTAACTACAGCATCACCCCGGATAATGGACACACAGTAATCAATATTTAGCAGCACTTGTATGAACACAGAAAAAAAAGCAAGATCAAGGGTCGACCTTCATTTTTTTTTATCCGAATACTGCTTGCACCCCATATAATGGTAAACACTTTCCCTCAGTTATGGACTCCAATTTCAAATGTATTCTCCCCTTTCGCACCCAGGGAATAAAAAATAAGTAGAAGTGGTCAGGAAATGATATTTTCTTTTGTTAAAATAAAATTTCCAGCACCCATTTAACCAATACGAAAATGATAAAAGAATGACAACATCAATAGATAAAATCACGTCCCTAGGCTTTATTTCTGAAGAATAAAAGTCTTTGTAAAAGACGTTTCAACATTTGAAGCTTCAAAAAATTAACTCCCGCACAAATGTCCGTAATTCTGGCCCACAATTCGATAATTTTGCATTCAACGCCTGTGAATCACTCAGTGTTACGTAGATGTCGCTTTAATCCGGACGAATTCTCAGTGTCGGTTAGTTCTGGCGCATTTGGCTACTTCATAATTCTGAATTCTACCTACATTCAATGTCCTGCTGATTTTCCGAATTTACTGCGTCAGGTAAGATCAGCTAATACTGTATTAGGATTTCCGATTTTAAATTTCAGGCGATCACGGCAACGATTCAAGCGACACCTGTCTGACAGTTGCGGAAACGAGGTTCGTTTAAACTGAAATAAATGTAACAGTGCTTTAAAACTGTTCTAGTCTGGGAGATTATCTCAAATCAGCGAGCTATCAATTTTATTCTAGCCAATCAAGAGCCTTTTGAATCGTCCCCCATTTCATCGGTGCGCGAACGAACAAAATCTCATTCAGCAATAATTAGCTGACGGAATCGGTGAGGCTTTCTGGCGAATTTTTCATTTTCATTTTCCCTCTTCTTTTTACGCAGTTGAGGAAATCAAAAGCAATATTCATGGCTGCAGGTGAACTGTCATCCACGAATTTGACACACTGTTTGATTTAGAACTGTTTCCAAGTGACAGGGTACTGAAACAGAACGGGAGGACAGAAAGTGCTTCCACTTGTTTACCTTGTCTCGATTTGAAAGGAAAATATATACAATGCTAATTTTCCGTTCGCGGGAAAAGATAAGCCGTCGACTCACCAGCTCATGCAGCATGTCAAGCATATCGAGAACGTACTGAAGGGCATCGTGAAGATTTTGATCAACCATGGCCAAAATTCCATCAAGTCCTTGTTCAAGAAGAGCCATTAGATCGTCCAAAGCATCCCTGTAAACAAAACAAACAACAACAAAAACAGATATCAAAGACAAGTGAATCACTAAGATCAGCAAAAGAAAATAAAGGGCACAATTAAAACATTTCTTAAGGGTATCCTTCCCCCTTTTCTTTGTTTTGCGAACTTGAAAAAAAACTGCAGTATTTTCTTTTTTCCGAAGTTTTCTTTCAATTTGCTCCTGCAGTGCTTCGCATTCATTCATTCAGCCAAGAGTTATTACAAATTTGTAGTTGGGATAGGTTATTCAACATTTACATAGTCCTTGAGGTTAGTTAGGTTTCGTTAGCTTAGGTCAGTTTGGTGTTAGGTTTTGTTAGGATAGTAAGTTGTTGGGTTATGTTAGAAAGATGTTAGATCAAGTTAATAAGGTTTTAGATTAAGTTAGTAAGTTATTTCTTCAAGTTATTCAAGTATAACAGTAAATTAGTTCGATGTAATAAAAAAGTAACTTAGTCATGTGTGACATCAAGTTATACAGCAGTTAACTGTACTATAGAGTTAGTTAGGCGTAACATTAAAAATGATGGGCGTGAAGTTAAGTTAGATAGGTGTAAAATTAATTTAGATAGGTGTAAAATTAATTTAGATAGGTGTAAATTAATTTAGATAGGTGTAAAATTAATTTAGATAGGTGTAAAATTAGAGCAGATAGGTGTAAATTTAAGCTAACAATGTGCAACATTAATTTAGTCAGAATTAAAACAGTTATATTCTTGGGTAACATTAAGTTAGTTCAAAGTTAGGCAAAATGTTGAGTTTGGTTAGGTTAGTCAAGGCTTGGATGATTACAGAGTATTAGAGCAGTAAAGCCAGGTTTGCTCTATTTAGGGCAAGGCTGAATTGAGCACGTTGCCATTTACACTTGCAGCCACACATTTATAACTACGAGGGTAGTTTAAAATGTGTTAAAGGAAGCATAAGAAGCTTCCTTCTTTTCTCAGCTTAATGCATGATCATGAGCACGAGGGAAATACGAAAAGGTATCAGGAAAAATATTACAGGTAGAAAAGTAAGTTTTTCATAACCTTAAAAAATTCTGACTTAGCAAGAGCACTCACTTCTGCATGAACCTCTCAATCATTTTGCGAAGTTGGAGAGCTTTGAAAACGCGCACATTTCTGGGCATATTCGACTTGGGGTCTCTCAGCGAGTGGAAAAGAGACGCCATTTTCACAGTTTTCCGGGAAGTGATTCCGAGCAAGTCTTCAATTTGTCCGAGGAGGGTTCCCAGAGATTGAAGGATCATGTCGATCAGCTGCTGTTCCAAACCTTCCGCGGATTGCTCTTGCTACATACACAGAATAAATGAAATATTTCAACTTGAACCTTCAACAATGTACAGAAAACTGTATTTTTCGACGATATGTAAACAGACAAAATTCGCGATTAGTTTTTCTGCGATTTTTTTTGCGATTCATGATTTATCCGTTCAGGAATAAAATTTCTCGTGACTCACACATACGCTCTGCATCAAAAAACGCAACTTTATCAACTAAAAAATCAGTAAACAACCCGCACGTTTTTAGAATTATATTGAACACTACATGAAACATTACGAATGGAACAGAAAATCACGATCTTTGAGCACGGCTTGACAAAATGAACCCAGCTTTGAAGACACATTTAAACCTTATGTGCGATTTTGAAACGTTGAATTTCTGATGAACAACATTTGACAAAATGATGAAGCAAATAAATAGTTTTCAAAGTTAAAAATTAACTCTCTCAAAAGCAGTAAGACATAGATGTAAAATATCAAAAATGTGAGTAGGTGTTGTTTTATTCGTGGACAAATTAGTATTAATTAAATTGTATTAAAATAAGCTGTGATCATCCCACATGTGGGCTACTTTTCGATAAGGTTGAAAAATGAAACGAAATGTCACTCACAAGTTCATGAACCATGTCCACCAGATTTTGCAAATAAATCAAGGCGTCTTCAAGACTGCCGTCAACAATCGCCAAAATTCCATCGATTCCCTGCTCAAGCAAAGCCAACAATTCTTCCAAAGGATCACTGTTCAGAAAAAAGATGAAAACTTATTCATAAAATATACAGATTCATTTAAATGAATAAAGACAAACCTTTGTTTGATGCCCTTTGCGACTGACGTCTTCTTCTCGTGAGCGGTTTTCAGAGTCACGAGGATTCTCTGCAGCTCAGACCTTCAACATTTTGAAGCAAAATCAACAAAATTATGCAAATTGAATACTTATTGTTTTCAGAGCTCGCCTGGAAATGGGGAATCCCAAAAGGTCACTCAATGCCTGAAGAAGACCTTCAATCAACGAATCTGTCCATTCTCCAGCCTGTCAAAATATGCGCGTTTATGAAAAAAATGCATCAGCATTCGAAGTTACACTTATGAAATGTCGTAATTCCAACAAATGAAAAATATCATTGAATCAAAACTTAAGATATTGAAAGAAGCGTTCTCTAATTTAATCATAGGCATCCCAGGCTTGTTTCACCAATTTGAAGTTTGTCCTAATCGGCTTTTCATTAAAATTCTAATTTCTACGAATTGAACGAACTGCACTGAAAAATAAAAAAGGAAAAATTTGCGCCTGCACAAATTTCAGCTTCGCGATACTCCTCATCCGACTGTTGAAAATTGAAATAACGTACTTTAAAATAAACTTCTATTTATTCTCTTTCAACGTTGCATATAATGGTTTGAAAGCAGGGGATTCGCGAGAATAACATTCGATGAATCAGCCTTAGAAATTAAGAGAGACATTTATAATTGTTTCATTCTGTCAGGAATGACAAATCTTGATTACTTGGAAGAAGTTCGCGAATTTGTGAAAATATTATCGTCGTTTAAAATAAAATACGGTTTACTCACCAAAATTTGGTCAATGATGGCTTGAATAGGGGCCCAGATCGAACCGATTTCACCAGTTATCGACTGCAGCAAAGCATCGATCGCGGCTTGCAACGTTGCCAAAACTTCGGAGATAATATCCTTTTCTGCCCTGATGACAAAAATATCATTCAGTCAAATAATTATCTCACTCCAAGATTATCTAGTGACAAATCGAACAACAAAAAAAGACCAAAAATTGACTCACTGTGTCAACTGATGCCTCTTTTGAGCTGGATAAAACGACGACTGAAACGAAAAACTCTTCGCCTTGGGAGTCACAGCATTTTTTCTCATTCCATCGCTTCCTTGTAGACATACGGCAACTACGGCCAACGCCAGAGCAGCTGAAAAAAGCTTCATTGTTTCCACCAATCGAAATGGATTCGAATGCAATACAGTCTCACCAACAACTGACGCAATTTCAATTTGATTCTTATCCGCATATTTATCGCCATGTCGATTAATAACATCCGGCAAGTGTCAGCTTTCCCACGTGATTGTCCGGAAGAATTTCAGGACCTACATTCAACAAACGGGGGCCTACAAAAACGTAAATAACGAGAAAATTGAAATAAAACCTAACCTCAAGCTTATTAAATATTTCGGGTCTTCGTTGGGTGCAAATCAGACTTGCAATAACCTAAATCGCATTTTTAAAGCATGAAGGATCATCAGAATAAATTCAATATTGGCTAATGCAAAAAAAAAATATTCTTCATCATAAAAGAAAGGATATCTGGCAACAAATCAACACTATATGAATCAAGCACATGCTTCCCAAAGCGAAAAATAATGTAACTATGAACTCAAACGGATCATTCTCGGTACAACGAAAATACGGAATGCATTACTGTATAATTAAAATGACAGAAGAAAAAAAAGACATGTGAAAGGAGGAAGGAAAGCTTCGCCAATTATTTATTGAGTTCTCAAGGACCGCGTAAAGCCATTCTGCCCTGCTGTTATATAAACTTTGACAAATTTACCCGTTTCACGAGTTCACAACAGTGCACGCGAGTTTTCAACGAGAGAGAAATCGTCGGTTCTTGTTTATTACACACGGATCACTCGAATTTTTACAATGCGGATTATTCGTGTTTTCTTTGAAACATAATCTTTAAATCATTAATGACAAATAAGAGGGAGTTTACCATGCCTGGATATCTCATTTTTTCCATCTGCAAAATCGTGATTACAATTTTTCAAGAGTCACATTAAATGCAGAAGAACTTTCCAAGATCTGCACTTGAATCATCAATGGTTTCCGGTGACATTGGCAGCAGTGTTAATTTCAGGATAACAGACTATATAACAATCTTCGAAAATCGCTATCTTATGCAAAGCTCTATGGAATGGAAAAATAAAAATATTTGTCTGTGAGAATTATCTAAGAAACGTGAGGAACGAAGTTTTAAATTATCTGAAAAGAAAATTGAGCCAAAAGTAGATCATTTGTTTAAAAAAAACAGCTCTACACTTGAAACAGAAAAAAATGTTGATAAAAAAATAAAAAAGATTTTTATCAAGAACTCTGTGCGGATATGAAGACACCCCTTCCAATGAGCACACAAAAATTACTGAAGAGAAACGCAGAATTCAAATATTTTCCCGCATTAAAATCGAATTCCTCGAATCCTGGTGCAATCAAGAAGAACCAACGAATGTCTCTCTCGAACAGTCAACCATTCGCCGAACGCGAAAACCCCCTGAGAATTCAGCTAAACAAACTCCATGAAACACTCGCTAACAACCAGGCCAATCTCCCTCAGGTACATAGTTCCCACTCAACCCCTTCTCACAAAAACACGGAAAATAGCTTTGATAGCACTGACTTCAATCCTTCAGATGCCCTCGCAACTCGAGAAGAAAGCTAAAAAGCTTGTGGTATTCATTTCAAACAAACCGAAATGTTCTTCCTCCCCCGAGATCCACGTACTCCCAAAAAAAAATGCTGCAAAAACAAAAACTCATCAAAAATTCCATAAAAAAATTAAATAGAAAGTGAAGCAATCCATCTTAGAAAAATACAAACAATTTACACAATCAGTAACTTTCCAAAGAGAGTCTTCGAATGATGAAAACCACACTGCGTCAACAATGCTTTAGAAACGTCCAAGATTTGGGAAAACAAATTTCTTCGAGTTGCATCGTTAGTGAGGGTTCAATCCAAAAAAAACACGGCTTACGTTTTCGTTCAACATCAACAACAGCATTCAATCTTCGGAATGAAAACCGAAAAAAATGCTAACTTGAACTCTACAAACGTGTTCACGAAAGAAATGTCAAATGCGATGAAGTTAAATACACAAGAGTACCCGACTTTCACCTGGTTGATTCACTGAATCCGGTGTGAGGACAAAGAATAAAGTAAACTCCAATATTCCAATTTTGGCTCACACACCGTGCTCAATTAAAATTACATAAAAAAACTTCTTCCAAACATAGTAACAATTGCTCAGCGGTATTTCCTTTCGTTCGGCAGTTAAACATGATAAGATCTTGCTCGTAGCTTTCCAGAAAGGCGTCCATCAGGATCCATTATCCCGGGAAATCCCTTGGCAGCCATTCGGTCTCTTGTCGTCAATGCTGCTCGAGAGCAAAAAAGACGAGTCGGGATGAACTACCATCATTCTTGGGGGTCCAGCAGCGATGGAAGGAATCCCTGAAGAACTTTGCCATTTGTTCTGTTCTTGCTCGTCGCAAATGTGGTCCATCATTTCACTTAAAAAAAGAATAAATATATAAAACGGCCTCGTTCCAAAACAAACCAAAAATCGGTGTTCATCAATCACGATGGATTTCTCAAAACTCTAGCGAACACATTTCTTTCACTACAGATAAATGAGAAAAAACTATAAAATTCGGTCTTTCGCAGAAATTTACCTCATGATGGTCATGAAATAATACGGGGTAATTATATTACGCCCGTGGACACATTAGAAACTAATAAAAATAACGAAAAACCGGCTTCTGCGTGGAAAAGATTAAAAAAAAATTAAACGAGCAATCATATACTGTATTTACAACGTTCGAACAAATAAAACCGCCGAAAAATTGGTGAACTGCTCTAGTAAAATTAGGTGACGCCTAAATTTTCATTCGGAATTTTAATTAGGTCGAGATTGACGCGAAACCTCTCTGAAATTTCGAAAACTCTCGTACGGATTCAACAAATACGAATCCTTGTACACGACGATGAGAGAAACTCACGTGGTGCAGGGATTTAAAGAAAACTTCTTCTTTTCGTGCCGAAGATTTCCAGGTACTTTCGACGCAATTATGTCGTGTCGCAGAGATTTCTTCCAGAAATAGTAATATTCAACGAGTTCCGCCCGGCTTCTTGAACGCACCTGAGGAGAGAACAGACAAACACAATTCTTCCCCATTTCGATAGCTGAATTTTGCTTTACATACAACGAAATTATGAAGTTTGAAAAAGTCTTTCCCGTGCTGCAAATAACCCTCTTCAAAAAGTCTGGTTTCTTCTTCCGACCATAGATTGAAATCGTGATCTTCATCGCTTTCCGCCATCGTTTTCCAACGAGATAAAGCTTTCTTGACGTCGTATTTGCATTCTTTGAGCAAACGGAGTGCCTTGAAGATGTAAAAAAAAAGAAAAATTAACGATACACGCGACAAGCGATACATTTCATTATGCGGAACAAATCCGACATAATACAATAAAGGAAAATCACGTCTCAACGAACTCTCACGCACCTGAGAAAAAATCCGTCATAATTGAAAATTTGTCATGAGATATATATTTCTTTGAGCAGGTAGGACTGAAATGTTGAGGGAAACAGGAAAAAATGTTTTGAAGAACAGTGGAGATGTGAAACCATCATTTCCCAATTTTTCTAATTAAATACGTTAATGCAGAAAATTAAAAATGTTTAAGACAGTGCTTGTACAGTATTTCAGGCCTTCCCTTTTTTGAATTTTCCTCCAAATATTGATCTTGCGGAAGTTTGAGCTGAAATGAACAGAAAATACATGTACAAGAAGGGCATTTATTCTCTAACAACTACATGTTCCTTGAAATAGAGTAGCATCGTTACAATCATACATTCTTCAATTAGGCATTTCAAATTCTGAAATGAAGACAAATTCTGATCATAGCTTTATAATTCCTGCAATGCTAAATTTTCTTTACAAAAGAGTAGTATTTATAATTTTTAAATTATTTTCAATAATACACAAGTAATTTCCCCATCTTAACGAAGATGTTCATGGCCCATGCACACATAATCATGAAATTATAGACGGAAATTTAGTTCGTTATAATGGCATTTTTAGAACATCGTCCCTATCAAGAAACTGCTGGGACCAAGAAAAGATTTGTTGCAAGGGAAAACCCATCACAATGGAATTTTACGGCTGTCGCATTGAAAACAAATTTTCTTCATAGGGGTTTATCATTATTTTGATTCTTATCTTGATGAAACGTCGACTGACATTGAAAATTAAAGAAACCCCCCACCCGAAAAAAAACTTACATATTCATTATCTTTGACGATGATACAGGTGGGATTAACTTTTCCGGCTTCGAGCATGCGTTTGATACCCTGCTGCTCTCTACGGACGTCGTCAGAAATCACGCGAGCGCGCTTCAGGTACTCCATAACGTCAGGTTCTCTCATTTTCCTTGGTTCCCATAAACATCGTCCACAGATCGGAGAATCGTCAGGAAAATATTCTTTCGAAGTTGGAACTCGACTCGGAATCCAAAGGGGAACATCAGCTTGATAATCGTCACCCACGTTCACCGACTGAAACACATTTATTCTAAAAAATGTTCCCCATCAAAATGTAGTGAAACAAACCTTTTTCCATTTCTCATCAGGAATGTATTCACTGTCTTCTTCCTCTTCTTCGTCGTCACTTGCTTGTGACACCGCTGCCAAAAAAACAAAAAACAAAAACAAGGAAAACAATTGAGCGCCATTTTTCTGACCCTGCGAATCATTTTCGTTTGACCTGACACCAAACTTCGGGCTCTGCTGCCTCGAACATGCCCTCGTCAAAAACATGATTTTGTTTTCCCTCGCATAGATGTCACCTGCATCCAATATTACGTAGGGTACTCTCGTCAAAATAGAGCTGTTTCTTTCGGGGTTAAATATTCTAGGTCACTTCCTCATTATTTCCCGTCGAGCAAATAAATTCTGTATGATCTGACAACCAAAATCTGAGAAATTGTTTGGTTTGAAGCTCGATGTTCCCGGACAGCGTGATCTTATGTCGCCCGAATCTTCATACTAAACTTACTAAATTGGCCAAGTTTCCATTGCAAAAAGTGAACTCACATCGCAGAAGATGAATTTTTCGAGAGTTTCCGGATATTTCGTTAACGCAATTCAACGAGGGGCCTTTTTCATAAAGCAGCTTCAAAGTTGAAGGTTGCCGTTCCTCTTCTTCGCAAATTTCTTCATCTTCCCCTTCTTCTTCTTCTCCCTCCTCCTCCTCTTCTTCTTCTTCGCATGCCTCTTCTTCATCTTCCTCCTCTTCATCTTCTTCGTCCTCATCGTCGCTGTCATTCAGGTAAGAACTTCCACCCTAAAAAATAATATTTTTTTTCAGCATCGGAAATCAGTTTTGATTGGTTGTATTCCACACCTTAGACCCAGGTTTGATGCCGTAAGACGCCAAGAGATCTGCAAGCGGCATATCTTGTTCCTGAAAAATGAAAACGAAACCGTTTTTGAACAATCACTTATTCCTTGAAAATGGCCATTGAAAAGTGTAGAAGCCACTCATCACATAGACAAGAGAAAACAAAGCCTTCATTGTTTCTCAACAAAAATCCCGACTTAATCCTTTACTCATTAGCTTAGATAACCATGAAGGCTTGAAGAGCAACAAACCTGGCGCGATTACCTTTCTATCTACTAATTCTTTGCGCAATATTACAATCATCACACGTAATGGAAGAATCCCAGGCGGATCAAAGAGCTCTCACGTCGGCTCCAGCTTCATCGCCAATTACTTCTCAGGCTCAAAAAGAATTGAAAAATGATTTAAAATTGGAGGAGAAAGTTGGGATTGTTCCTGTGGACTCGTCCTTGGTTGCTACTAGATTCAAACCCATCATCAAATCCGAAAGCGACAACAGGGAATACAGGGCTGTTGTGCTGAAGAACAAACTGAAGGTGAATGAACATCAGCTGAAATTCATCCGCTAAATTTCAAATAACAAAAGATCTTACACGTGGAAATCCTTTATTATTTTTTCATTTCAACGCCTAATTTTGATGTCAGGTAGGAGTTGCCTCAAACCATTTTATATTGGCCCCGGTCTACAGTATTAGATCGATTTTCAAGCAACAGTACTTCATTAGTAATCAACTACAGGTAGACTCTCTACAGCGATTTTCTTTGTACATTGTGACGAATATTTTCGGAAGTTCTCCACAACGAATTTTTCATTGGCCCCGGATTGATTGACCAATCTTCATGCGAAAATATTCCATTAAAAAGTAACTACAGTACTGTACAGCCAGATTTTCTCTTCTTCGACAATTTATTCTGTTCAACGAATTTTTTTGAATTATTATTTTCTAAGAATCGTGATGTCTGTATCTCGAGACTTTGTCCGGATCTTAAGGCCATTTTTAAGGTTTCAAGTTTCCCTAAGTCGAATCGTCCCACTGTACAAGGGCCTCCAGCAGCGAACCTAATCCGTTAATTTCCAGAGGCGTTTTTTTGCGAAAATCACATATTCCATAGTAACATATGGGAAATCTGTTATTGGTTCCGGAGTTAAAATAAAAGTTTGTAGAGGTGAGATGAAGAAAACGAGCACGAAAAAATGAAAAATACAGACAAAAATGCGGAGAAACCCAATTACTATACTGTACTACCGTAATAAGTTCCAAATTAAAATTATTAAATCGTGCGATATTAGAAGCACAAAGTAAATTCAAATTTCCTCTTGATTTTAATTTCCCTGGGAAGTTAGATTTCATTCCGATTTTCGTTTCTCATTCGGAAATACAATTTCATAAAAATTTTACAATTTTACAAATTTTTTGGAGAAAAAATTGTCCATGTTTTCCACTTGACTCGAGGTTCGTTCCTTGAGTCGAGTTCGTTGCTTATGACGTGGTTACCCAAGTTATTTTAGTGAAATGTTCGTTGCTCGAGATCCCACTGCACAGTAATTAAGAACCAAAACTGTCTGGATCACAGGTGATGTTGGTGAGTGACCCGACAACAGACAAGGCTGCGGCTGCCATTGACGTGCACATTGGCAGTTTATCTGACCCGTGGGAACTCCCGGGTCTGGCCCATTTTTGCGAACACATGCTCTTCATGGGAACGGAGAAGTATCCGTCGGAAAACGAATACTCAAAGTTCATTTCAGAGCACGGGGGATCTACAAATGCGTTCACGAGCGGGGAACACACCAATTATCACTTCGATATTGCTCCGGATCATTTGTCTCAGGCCTTGGACATTTTCGCGCAGTTTTTCATCAGTCCGTTGTTCACTGAGGGTGCAACGAGCAGGGAAGTTCAGGCGATTGAATCTGAGCACAGTAAAAATATTCCCTCGGACAATTGGCGTTTCCACAGGTAGAAATGATTCAAATACGTCAACATTAAATAATTATCGCATACCACGCGTCGAACTGTTGAGTTCCAAAAAAATTGTTCAGGCTTAAATATGACTCGAGAATACCGTACAATGGGTCCCTGATTCCCTGCACAACGAAAGACCAATATCACAAAACATCTAAGGGACGAAAATTTGGCAGGGAGAAAACATGACTTCCATTAGAAAAATTATTTCACACAACGTAATTTTTGGCCTCAAAATGCGCGGATTTAGTTTTGAACTGAAGTGGAAAAATTGAAGAAAAAAATCAATAAAAAAGAGAAAAGAAAAAGCACAGTTTTCTATTTTTTCGCCTTTGAAATGTGAGAAATTAAGAAAGTTATCCGCAAAAGTTCTAAAGATGGCTTCAATTTCCTGCCAAACAATAATAATTCAAAAATGTTCTGCAGCAAAATAGACAAATTGTATGGTTTATTCTGGTCTTTTACTGCGTGACTGGAACCTGGAGGGAAGATACAGTACTTGAATAACGAAAAATTTGCAAAACGAAAACTCACGAGGGAAAGAATTGGTTTCATTATTTGGGGACCCATTGCAATTTAAAATGGTTATAAATAACGCCCAACGAAAGAATTTACTAAAATATACTTACCAAAATGAAAAATTCGTCGGAAATAAATCGTTAAAGTTCAATATGATTGCAATATGCAGTAGAGTATAATAAAAATAAAAACTGTCGCTGAAGATTTTCCAGTTTCCATTCGAGTATGATTCAGGTTCCTTAATCACGTTTCGAATTTATGTTCTGATTTTTCTCAAGTTTTCAATATTAATTATCGTTCTTTCATCACGAGACCTCTTCGAGATTTTCTTTCCTATGCGTTCGTAATTTGGTTTTCGCAACAACAAAAAATGGCCCTTGAAAAAATTGCTAAAGTTGTGTCTAGGTTTTAGTTACACAAGCATGCATTTTGGAAAGCATTTTCCAGTTTCCATTCGAATATGATTCAGGTTCCTTAAATCACGTTTCGAATTTACGTTCTGATTTTTCTTAAGTTTTCAATATTAATTATCGTTTTTTCACCACGAGACCTCCTCGAGATTTTCTTTCCTCAGCGTTCGTGATTTGGTTTTCGCAAAAAAATTGGCCCTTGAAAAAATTGCTAAAATTGTGTCTAGGCTTTAGTTGCACAAGCATGCACTGTACTGTATTTTAATTTTAAGCTTGCTGCCTGTGAAAAAAGAAACATCGAATATAAACTCGTGATATCCTCCGAAGGCTGGAAAAACATTTGGCGAAACCCGGCCACGACTACGGGAAATTCGGCACAGGAAACATAGAAACTCTGCAAACTGAACCAGCTAAAAAGGGCATAAACGTGCGAAACGAGCTCCTCAAGTTCCATCAAAAATGGTACTCTGCTTCCCTCATGACTCTGAGTGTCATCGGATCCTCGAGTTTGAACGATTTGGAAGCCGAAGTGTCGTCATTATTCAACACTATTCCCAACAATGACGCAACAGCTCCAGTCTGGAATGAACATCCTTATGGACCGGAACAGATTCAAAGAATGGTTTACATGGTTCCCATCAAAGACATTCGCATCTTGTCTTTTTCCTTCCCCATCAAGGATTCTCAGCCGCATTACAAATCTGCGCCGATAAGATACATTGGACACTTGATCGGACACGAAGGTTTGCCCTGCATCAAATACTCACTTTGTACCTTATGTAGAGAAAAGAAGCGATGCGGAACGCTTCAAACTCACACTATTTTACACCTGAAAAGAAAGTATTCCGCGGACTCAGTTTTTTGAATCGAAACGCTCTTCAATCTATCGAAACAATTTAATCAAGCCTACGTTCATTTGCAAAATGTTTTCTTTGCTGAATTGAGCAAATTTTTAATAATTTCAATATTAGTGCAATCAAAACATTAAAAATTTGTAAATTACCACTTTTTATTCAAAATATTAAAATTTAGTGTGTTGCAAAAATTTTACAGAGATTTTTCAAGCAATAAATTGTATTTTTCAGTGAGCATCACAAAATTTAAGCTTCATTTTATTACGACGATGTGGTGCATTATTTAAACTCTGTCTTCTCCAATCTAGTGTAAAAAAAAATTGGCCTAGCAGTGACAGCCAAATTTTTTTCCAACGGTAAATTTCCATAATACTGGATTCAATTCCAAAAATAACAGGATTAAATATGGCACCCCGTAAAATTTGCATAAGTTGATGCCGATTAAGCTGTAACATTTGGTATTCATAATGTAATGCTTTATTTATCACAGCATAAAAATATTTCGCACTTCGCAACTATAACATGAAAGTTGTATGATCATGAAGAAAAAGACGCACGTACAAAAACGCCGCTTTCAAGATTTTCTTCGACATTTTTGTACTCATTCAATTAAGCATCGTCTGAGTAATTAAAAAAGCACTGACGAAAATGTTGATCGAAAAAATCAACATAATTTCAATAGGGAAAGGCAGTTTGCTGTCGTTCCTGAAGAGAAATGGTTGGGTGAATGCGCTCAACGTTGGGGAAACCAAAGGTGTAACAGGCCACTCTTTCTTCGATGCGGAAATGGACTTGACCGAAGTAGGATTTCAGCACATCACAGAAATCATAGCTGCGTTTTTTCAATACGTCGAGATATTGAAACAAGATGGAATTCAGAAATGGATTTTCAAGGTACGGAACTTTTCCAAATGAGCCATTTTACGAAGCTATTTTACTGGTCCGAATGGCTTCGTTCGAAGAATATTCAACTGTACCGTATTTAGAAACGCAAAAATCGCTCTACATTAAATTCTCATTTTAATTCCAGGAACTTCAAGATCTGGGTGCAATGGATTTCCGCTTCAAGGACAAAGAAGCCCCTCAAACCCTTGTCATCGGGATTTCAAACCTCTTGCACTATTATCCCGCAGAAGAAGTCATTAGTGCCCCATTCCTCATAGAAAAATTCGACGCGGATTTGATTAAAGAAACCCTGGCAGCCATTAAACCAGAAAACTTATACGCGGTTATTCTTGCGAAAGAAAACGAAGGGAAAGCTAAGCTGACAGAGCCAGTTTTCAAAATCAAATACGCCGTCGAAAAAATTTCCCCGGAAACGATTGAAAGTTGGAGAAACGTCGCGAAAAATTCCGCGCTGTTCCTTCCGGAACCGAATCAATTTATCCCGGAGAATTTCACATTGTTTCCGCTCGGAAAGCCCAAGGATACCCAAAATCATGGTGCTCCTGAACTCATTGAAAACACCGAAGCGTTCCGGTGAGTGGAAACTATTTTCTGAATGCAGTATATATTTTCAAATTGTATTCTATTTGAGTAAAAAAAAATTCGACGGCTTCTTGGCCATCAAGAATATTCAAGTTCCCAACAGTCGATAACGGAAAAATTGCAATATTTTGACAGGATTTCAATTGGGCGTGATTAAACATAAAAGTCAGCAACCCCCCCCCCCTACATCGATAACTATTCAAGAAGGGTTCAATTTTCATAAAGTTCAATACTATTTTTGGTAAAATTTGAATAAGAAAATACAGTCCGATATTATCAAAAATGAATCATCTTATAATAAATTCATTTTTATAACCATCGCGGATTTTAAAATATTCTCGGTTGAGAATCATTCTCGAATTTTTCCGTGACACCCTTTACAGCATTTCGAACATACTCTGCATGAACAGTGCAGCATAGGTTTTTCTAGTTCGAAATAATTTTGAGGGAATCGCACAAGAAATTGAAATTTCTCAAGACAGCTTCTCGACGCTTCAAATTTAGGTTTTGGTACAAGCAAGACGACCAGTTCTTCACTCCGAAAGCTGTCATTCGATTCGAGATTCGCAGTCCTTTGGCCTACCAGGACCCAAACCACATCAACCTCGCCCACATGTTCGTACTACTCTTCGAAGATGACCTCACAGAATACAGCTACCCAGCACACCTAGCAGGACTAAGTTTCGGTCTTCTCAACGTGAAGTACGGCATGCACGTCATTGTCCGAGGGTACAATCACAAACTTCACGTACTTCTAGAAAAGGTATGGCATTTTTCTTCAGAAAATTTACAAATACAGTCGAATTTTAATTTGGTGTCACCCTGGCATAATGCCAAAAATTCCCCTGCATTGTGTTAAGATGGACCTTGATTTAGTGCAAGCTAGCTTAGTGCCACGAAAATTTCTTATCCAGAATGAAAAATGGGACAAAATCAAAGAAATATATGTATTTTTCTGAAGATTAAAAAATTACTGAGAATCAAAGGCACATCCTCACATAATAACTCCAAGGTAATTTTAAATACGGTATATTGCATTTCTGACTTTACAATATTCAAAATACTGTTTATGTAGCAAGACCCTTTCCTTGACTGCAAATTTTACGAATAAACAGAGTTTTCTCAGCAACATTGGTGATTCCTACATAAAGGCACTTGATATAGAACTCAAAGAAAGTTTCAAGGAACACATCCGCTCTTTCACTAGACACAATAATATAAGTGTAAAAATCCGATATAATGTATTCCGTCTTCGCAAATATAGCATAAAAACGGTTCATTTGAGCTTCAAATTAGTGCTTATGATTTTTGCCTTATAAAAACACTGAATGGTCCAAAAATTCTGTAAACAAGCATACAGTAGAAAACCCTTGACTGAACTTCTCTTAAAATACAGGTATACTGTACTCAATTTAGTTCCACAAAATGTTCCAAGACAGGATGATGGCACTAGATTGAGGTTTGCCTTTACTGTATGTTCATAAGACTCCAAATTCTACACCCGCGTTTCTTAAAATTTTGATTCGAAATTGATATACGAAATGTAATTCTCAGGTTATGGACAAGCTGATCTCTTTCAACCCCGACCCGGTGCGGTTCGAAGTTCTGAAAGAAGTTTACATCCGATCGCTCAAAAACTTCGAAGCTGACCAGCCTTATAATCACGCCATGCACTATACAACACTCATCCTTGCGGCCCGATCATGGAGCAATAAACAACTTCTAGACGATGCCAATCGCCAAAATGCTCTAACAGTAGAGAAGCTCAAAAAATACGCGGATCAGCTGAAGGCGAAATTCTTCGTGGAAGGCCTGATTCACGGGAACGTAGATAGAAAAAATGCACTGGAATACGTGACGAGTCTCAAAAAGTACTTCTGCGAACGCGGGTACGAGGCCCTGTACTCCCAGCAACTCATTCTCGACCGACAAATTTATCTTCACCCACGCACACACCACGTCTACGAGATCACGAACAATGTGCATAATTCCTCGTGCGTTGACCTGTACTTGCAATGCCGAGTGATGAACACGCAGGAAAACGTTTTGCTGGAGCTGTTTTCTCAAGTAATTCAGGATCCGGTCATGGATTGTTTGCGCACAAAAGAACAACTGGGCTATTTGGTCGCGGCTTATGTCAAAAGGGTCAGCGGGGCTCAAGGGCTCACAATCTTGGTGCAATCTCCGCATCACCCCAGATATTTGGACACCAGGATTGAAACATTTCTAGAATACATAGAAGAACTGCTCGGGGCTATGAGTCCCGAAGAGTTCGACAGACACAAACGGTCCCTACGGAGCAATAGACTAGAACGGCCGCCAACGCTGCGAGTGCAAACTGGACGATATTGGTCAGAGATAGCACTAGGTCAGTATTTCTTCAATAGGGATCAAAGGGAAATGGATTACCTTGCCACCGTCACAAAGGAACAGCTTTTGGACTTTTACAAAAAGAGACTGGCACCTGACGCACCGAAAAGAAGGAAAATCGCTACACATGTTATTTCAACGCTGGAAAACCCACCGCGAACACCGATGATTGAACAACCCCAAGAAACATGTAGAGCGACAATGAAGAAAGCTGATTCTATCATGGATGCAACAGTGATTTCCGACGTTCTAGACTTCAAAAACCAATTGCCACTTCTACCTCTCGCGAAGCCTTATATGTCAATGAAAGTAGGAGGAGTTGATGGTGGTACAACAGCGAACTTCTAGTTAATGTGACAATAAAAACGAACCTTTTGCAATGATGAAAGTTCGGCTTGAGAGTCATCTTCGGGATACATAGCTTCTTCCTCGTCCAGCGTCCGCTCGTCGTCGTATTCATGAACTAAAACTTCCGCACTCGGGTCGAAATCCGAGTCATTTTTGTTATCCACTGTTCCACTCATTGCACTTAAAATTTCCGCAGGTCCAATAGCCACCAATGATTCCCATAAATCACGTTAGCTGTACGAATATAGATTTTATCACTGGATATCCAGTTGCACGGTAGTCAAGCGGAACGCATGCCCACTTGAATAACACGATGCTCAATGTTATTCTGTTGCAGGAAGAGAAATGCATCACACACGATTCCACCCCGACAGCGTGACGTCCGGAACGGCGACGTTCTCACTCTAAACTCGTAGATGAAGTTCCAGCACTAACACACTTTGCATTCATGCACGTACTCATCGAAAATCATCGAGCTAATTGAGCGTGAAGTACAAACTAAGTAATCACAATCGCAGACATGCATTAAAATTTCCAGCGCGAAGATATCTGCCCTCACGTCTTCAACGCAATTGGAGCGGACACCTTACAAGAGTTCTCGATGTTCGAGATTAACTCGCGGCTGCATCTAATACAGCTACCACTTCCCTCTTGTTTTGACGGAACTGAAGCGTTGGTTTCAATGCGTTCGAACAGATGTGGATGGCTTGAACAATACACTATTAGCTCAGCTATAGGTAGATGTCGCTCTCTTCCCAAGCGACCCACTCCATTTTTGCCCGTTCCCACAAAATGGGCAATAATTGAATACTTTACATCGTTCATAAAATAACCACATTTACCAAAGTATCTTGTGCACCTTCCTTTTGAAAATTTAAGAGGAAAAAAGGTTGTTTATCAGAGGTGGGTATATAGAACTTCTCAAAATGTCAAAAGCTTTTGTACAGATCAATAATTATTTATTTTCAGAGCATTTTTGACAAATTTCGAAGATAGGAACAAAGCACTGAACTGTACAATCAATATTGAATTTTGAAAAATTCAGGTCAAAATTGAAAAGCGATATCTTTGCTTCATTAAAAAATGATGTGTCTGTCATGATGTTGACAGGTGCTTCTCCAGTAAACGGGGTAGTATTGCCTCAAGAGAAAGGGGTTTTGTGGCATGAAATTTTGCAGGACAGTCAAAACCAACCTAGTTTGTACAGAATATAGCACCTTAACAAATGGCATGCTTTATAACTTTCTTCTTTTTGTGACTTGTTCAGCTGTAGTCTACCCACTACGGTGATTATTAGACTTTCTGAAAAGAAGACTTCATACTGGAATGGAATAAGAACATTAACCAAGGCACCAATATGCCTTCAGTAAAAATTGACTCTAGTTTGGAGGACCATACAAAATTCATTACTTCAACTAAAAAAAGAAACATTTCCTCAAAATAATCTTACACTGGCATAGAAGGCTTTGGACTAGGAGTTCTTGCGGCAATTTCCCCGCTTGAATGTTCCACGTGGGCCTGCATTTGATAGGTTTGTCGTTTCATTTGCTTTTCAAGCTTTCGAATATCGCAGGTTGAATGAAGCATCAATGCCATAAGCCCGCCTCGATTTTTCATCGCTTGTCGCAGCTGTCTTTCTTCTTCGAACAATTCATCTCTCAGAAGGAATTCTTTCACTCGCATACCGTCGATTTCTGCTCTCCTCAGCCGATCCCACAGGAAATGATCGGTGCACTTCCGCTTCAATTTGCGGCAATATTTTTCCGTAGGGATGAAGAGGTCATTTACAATCGGACTACCGCAAACCTATCAAAAGAGAGCAGCAATAGAAAACATAAGATCAATGAAAAAGAATGATTTCTTAAACCCTCAAACCTAATATAATAGCGGATTTTCGAAGTTTCCCGAAAAATTACTGCACAGGGTTTCCGCAAATCCAAGATTTTATTGGTTCACAATTTTCTCGCCCAGGGGAAAGTTTTCTCACCTCATTTTCATCATATGGTTCCTTATAATGCTCAGGGCATATGACCTTCAGTCTTTTGCAGTACATTCCAGTACTTCGGCAGTAAATATCACAGAAAATGCTTTCTCCCTCAACCGTTGTTTGAACGGAAGAGCCAAAAGACGTCTTACTCTCGAACTTGAAAAAGAAGAACAAACTCGATTGAGCTTTTTTGCGCACACACACAAACAAATAGGAGAAAAAAGCAAGCCTTAGATTCCTTACGCGAATAAAACACTTTTCCAAATGCTTTGTTGCAATCTTGGAAGAAATTTCCATTCCACAAGTGATGCAATACATGGATCCTTCTGCTTCCTGAGCTTCGCTTTCATCGTCGCTATCCGTTTCCGGAGATAACTTCTTCACGCGCTGCACCAAATCAATGTGCTCCTACAAATAAAAAAATCTTGAGTATTTGATGAATTTCCCTCAACTTTCAGAATTTCCAACCATCCGGCAGGCCCCAGTTCACGCAAGAAACCAAACCCAATTTAAATTTAATCTCAACAAAACTGAAAACTGGGGTCTCTTGACGGGATCAAAAATCATCGGTCCATTCAAAAAACACCAGTACATTTAAGGTAACGATGAAAATTTTCTTGAAAAACCCCCGTCTTGAAAATAATTCCAGGAGGCGACACCCGATTGAAAGTAAAAATCTTAATATCGAGATATTTGGGTGCGTCAAAAAATGCAAAATAATCTTGAAAAATTCATGATTTCATTTCACCCTCAGCTTTTTGTCAAGGAGTTCCATCCTAGTCTGATTCTTTTGCAGCTTCTCGCGGACTTCAACTAATTTTTCTTTGTCCTTCACTTCAGCTGCACTCCCTTGTCTCCACTCTTTGACCCGTTCTGGTAAAATCTAAACCACGGGAGAAAAACTTTCATGAAAAAGTTTCGAGGAAAAAAATATGTACAGAACAGTACATGGAAATGTGATCACTGATGAAAAGTGACAAACCATGAATATTCTTTGAGAAGCTAAGCGTAATCCGCACTCTTCAGAGCAGTACTTCGATCGAAACCTCGCAGCGTGTTGACAAGACGGTCCAAGGCACTGACGACGTCTGTCCTCTCCATACGGTTCCAACGGCTGTTGTTGTTCATCAACAGCTTCGGGTTTTTTAAACGCTCTTCTCGTGGGTTTCTTAACAACCTTTTCTTCTTTTCTCTTCCCGGGCTTCTTCTTCTGCGCTTCTTCGCTGTCGGAATTGTTTTCATCGGAATCGGTTTCGTCGCCTCGCCGCCGTGGCGGCGGCGGAGTGTAGCCGCCATCGCTCCGCGGGGAGTCCGGAGTCGTGTGAGACTTCCGCCGCTTGTTCACTGTTTTCTCGCGGCGTTTCGGCCGTCGCTGGTCTTCCCAATCATCAGAATCTTCAGTATATTTTCCGGTTTTCTTGGGAGTGGTTTCTTCGTCGGAAGACGACGATGCCGATGACGAAGATGATGATGAAGATGAAGTGGACGACGAGGAAGAGTAGTGTTTCTTACGGCGAGGAGGAGGTGTATTTGAGGGGGAATCCGGTGAAGATGCTCGGGACGTATGTTTCCGGCGAGAATTCGATTCCCCGCCGCGATCCAACGATTGATACCGAGTTTCCAGCTTGGGGTCTTTCCAACGACACCCCTGCAAAAAATTAAATCGACTAAAATTGTTGATTGGATAATTACCGTTCAAAATAATACTTTTTTTACAGTGAACTCCACCACCGATTTTTTTTTTTCAATAACCAACTGCATCAAAAGTGTTAGTTCAAAATAAATCGACGTTCCTGTTGTAAATGTGGATACGAACCTGTCAGTATACCTTAACAATGATCCAAAGCTTTTATAATATTTTGTTGAGCGTCAGTTTCCTAGCTGCCTAAAATTTTCGCCTTACCTTTTCATATTTTTGCTAAATACCGCTTTATTCGGTGATTCCTTGAAGAACTTATGAAGGACAATTTCAAGGATGTGGTCGACTACAAACAATTATCAATTCTATGTACAGTATCTTCACATTAGTCAGCTGAGGGTTTCGTTGGGTCGTCTGAAAAAAATCAGATATTACACGTAGTTTCACATCATTCCGTGAACTGACTTCCAACAGGAATGATTAGAAAGTTAATCCACTGAAAAATAAATCGGAGAATCGAAAGAAGTGGTGCGATTTTAGGGGAGACAATTATTGCTATAACTGTCATTCATGCTTAATTTGTCGTGACCGTCTCCGAATAGCGTGAGATGAAAAAAAAATCATGCACAACGGCATTTACTATTTCATCCATCGCGTTTAATGGCAGCATAGAAAATTAATTCGCAGATGGTTTTTATACCAGAACAGCGCTCAGAGACAAAAAATTCGCAACAAAATTATTCACCTGGCAATAAAAGCTGATGATCCGAGATTCGTCCTTGGCTTTCACTCCCACGCATTTTCCATGAAACCATGTTTCACAACGATCGCATGCTCTAAAATCGAAGAATACATAATTTTCAAAATTTCTACAGAATGGAAAAAATTTTGTTTCGCTCACATCATGAATCCCTTCTCCTCTGAACTTTTGCACACGCAAAAAACTTCTTGCCCAGGCAGTAGAGCGCCTTGCGCGGTTCGATTCTGCTCCGAACTCAACAACGAGTGAATTTTGCTCTGCCTTTCCGGCAAAACGAATTGTTTAGCGATTTCCTACAAGAAAATAAACCCGATTCATAAAACGGCTAACTTCAGGACTTCATTCATCAAAATATTTACCGAATGAGTTTCGTCCATCGCATCTACCTCAATTGCCAAATGCGTCCAAAACCAACAATTATGAATTGAATGTTCACTGCAAGCGACCAAACATCATTTCAGAACAGGTCAAATAAGGCAAGAAATTCTTCCAAACGTTCCGAAGATCGACTATAACAATTTGACACATCGAATATTTTTTTCCCATACGAAAAACGTAAAAAACTGCAACACGCTGAACACTTTCATGCAAAAATACATGTATAAAAGATGTAACGAAAAGCATTGAACGCCAAAAAATCCCAATATCGAACAGGCCTCTCCCAAGTAATAACAAAAGAATCAGCCAAGGCATCGATATTACATTCAGAAGACAATTTTTGCTTTCATTCAACGATATTAACGTATGCTGCATGTTGATAATAAAATTTTCAGTAAACCCAAGTAATATCTACTGGATTAGCCATTTTAAAAAACCTAATAAAACCACTGAGTGAGGGCTTCTTGGGGGGGGGGGGGGGGGGGGGGGGGAAAAAAAGGGAACCCCCCTGGCGGGTGGGGTGGGGGGTGGGGGGGGGGGGGGGGGGGGGGGGGGTTGGAACAAATTGGCAACCCACTTGAAATTACAAACAGAGAACTTCCTTCTCATGAAAGGATTCTAGTACATTAACGTGGCAACACTGTAATAATAGCCCACATTTCTCAGTCGCCAAATGAACGTTTTGCTTTCGATAGCCAACCCTACATTACAAGAAATCTTCGCTACAATCGACTAGGGTTTAAATTCGGGGTAGAGCTGAACTCAATATTAGGTGCTTAATACCAAAACTTCTTTTCGTGAAAGGTTATACTTCCGAGGCACTGTATTCGGGTCCTTTAATGTTTTCGACGACGAATTTCCCGTTAAAAAAATAATAATAACGCAAAAAGAGCTTTGGAGAGAGGATTTGCTCCGTTTTTTCAATAATAAAAGGATCGCAGAATTTTTCAAAGGCATCAACTGCCTTCGTTGGTGGTAGCTGGTGGTGGAGTGGACCCCGACTGCGGAGGTGTAGCACGTGTTTGGCTCGAGGGATCAGACTTGACTGCAAAAGGAGCTGCAACTTCCGAACTTTGATTTCCTCCGGGAAGGTTGGACCCAGAGGAAGAGGAACTTCTTCCAGCGAGCCCGTGTTTCCGCATGCTCGAGATCACGGATTCCATCGAGGCGGTTTTCTTTCTTGCACCGCCTCTCAGTTCCGTCTCACCCGGGGCTCGTATCCGTAACGGCGTCGCTGCTGGTAACGAAGGTTCGCCGAAGTCGAAATCCATTTCGTCAACAGCTGGGGGATTTTCTTCCCTGGAACAGACAAAATGAAACTTAAGAAATCGTATTTACGTCATTATCACGCAAGAAAAACGGACGCAGTATTACAGTGGGACCCCGACAAACAATCGGACTTGAGGACATCGAAAAAAATATAAATCTGCCACAACATCCGGACAATGTCTCGAGATAGACACTTTTCAAAATTCACAGAAAATGGAATACATTTTCAAAATTTGGATATCTCGAACAAATAAGAGTTAATTATATTCACAAAAACTGAAGAAATTCATTTACCGTAATACAAAATTCCTAAAATTCATACAAAAAAAAGGTTCTCCAGAGTTTTTTTTTCCATCATGGGTGCATATTATAACTAGTTATTCGTGTTCTTTGTTTTTGCTTTTTTGCTGCTTCTGATGCCCGAAGATCAGATTCTGTGCGGCTTGCTTCTGCACTGTTATTTTCTGTACGTTGAAGTTGACAAAAAATGTTATTCAAGTTTTTGGGGACTTTATTTCCAATTTTTTGATAAACAGGAGAACCAATTAAATATTTTCCGATTGCAGTAAAGCATACCCTCAGTGCGATAAAATTTGCTAATTAATATTGTTTGAGATTCTGTAGTCAAAAGTTGGTGCTTTTTCGCACACTATACTCACAACAGTCAATTTCTATTAAAGTAAGTTGCGTGAGAAGCGGAACATTCGCGTGTAAACCTTTAATTCAAATGAAGGTTTACGAAGGGCTGGAAAATCAAGTTCTTCTCAAAAATAATTGTACAGCGTTCAACAGAAGCAATAAATTGCCACTTGCTTTGGAGCAGATTCCTCCACTTTCTCCTCTCCCTCGGGGGTTTCTTCTTCTTCCGGGGTTGGTTCCCGCCGCCACATACACCGCCACTCAAGCTCGAGTACTCCATCATGGGTTTCTATGGCTTCACAAAGAGACGAGATTTCGCTTCCTGTAGGAAACCATTCATCGTTCCTTTCATCTGAGAAGCAACAAAAAGAAGCTATTCCACTTTCCCAGTTTGTAAGAAATACTGCACTTCGAACCTTCTGGAATATCGCATCCTTCGGGAAAAAATAGGTTTTCTGTTGAATCAGTCGTGACTATGTCCATCTAAATAATCCCAACAAAACTGGACTCTGCGAACAGAAAAATGAAGACTCTCGACTTCTAAAATCTACAGCACACAGAAGTATACAGAACCAAAAAAGTAGAAAGTCTTCAAGATGATGAAAGCAGTGAAAAAACCTTTATCGCAGTTCCCAACTACAAATCGTACCGATGGAAAATAATTTTATTACAAATTCCAATAGCAAGAACAGGATGACACGCATGCCAAGAGATGGTACTGCATTTTGCGGGTAAATTTGTCATTATAGCTCCGTCGTCGGTCAAAATTGACACGCTATCTCCGGACTTGTCGATTATTGCGAGCACATCCGCATTCGAAGGACACCAACGAGCCGCAGTCGCAACTCTGTTGTATCTAGAAATAAATATTGCACATTTCAAAATATACGCCCAATAAAAAACGACCATCTCCTGAAAAATTTTCTGAAGAATATTTTTACTTCAAATATAATTTTTTTAAACTTTTGGCGAAAACATTACTTTTATTAAAACACGACCGTCAGATCTTGGACATTATCAGTATGAATCTTTCACTAATCTTCAATAAATTCAACACTCGAATCGCCTACAAATCAACTGACCATGCCAAAGTGAAGAGTGAACCTCCTTTTCTCACATAAATAAGGGATACATTAAGCTTTCCATCTTTCCATTTTGAGATGGGTGTTCGGAATTAGGCAAATTGATGACCGAACAATATTCCGTAAAAATCATCTTCATCTAAAATTATTGACGAAATAACGCTGTTGAAAGATGACTTAGCGAACCGAGCAAATCGGAGTTTTATCATGAATATGTACTGTACTGTATTCTGATAAACCTCACTGCTCTCGCAGTTTTGCGCTCAGAAGTGGTGGTAAAATTTGTCATCCGGTAGATAATAAATTGAAAAACCCTAACGCATTTTTCCCGAGGAAGAAGTGATGCAATAGCATATTTTCGAAAAAAACTTGAGATCATTGTTTCTTCGACTGCGAGTCAAAAGGTTTAAAAAAACTCACTGCTTTCCGCAATTCCTGGTAAACTTCAAACCGGACCTGGAACACATCACCACCATGGAAGGCATTTCCAGATTCCAATCCGCAGAGAACACCAAACCAGGTACTTCGTCACCGAAATCCAACTTTGCTACGCATCGCATCGTTTTCAAGCTGAAAAATGTTCCTGTTCCACTAATACCCACGACTAAAAGCATATCCGGAAGAGCCGGATGAAACTGTACTTCCTTTCCGGAAAACCCAAGTTCAAAAGACACTTCACAGTCAGATGGCTGATTCGCATCAATATTGAATGGTTTCCAGATCCGGCACTTCGTATCAGATCCAACTGAAGCACACGCCGTGAAACCCAAATATGTCTTCTCGTACGATGCTGCCACCGACCTCAGTCTGAAATTAACGCGGGGGAGTAAAATTTCAAGTGGAACAGAATTTTTCATAAAACGAAAAAAGCAAAAATCAAAAAAGAGCACACGAGAACGGATACAGGTGGACTCTCTCTACAACGAAATTCAGGGGATCAAAATATCGTTCGTAGTGTTCTATGTTGTAGAGAACACCATTCGACGAAGAACTTCGTTGATCAGAAAAAATCACTGTAGAGGATACCTGTATAACAAATTAGACACAATCTACAGTTCCTAAACGTGAACTCATCAAATCCCATGTAAATTTTAAAGTCTAATTTAAACTACTCCAACAATTTTAGTTATTATTCTACTGTATAATAAATATATTTTTTCGTAAATTTTCAAAGACAAGGTGAAGCGAATTTCCGTAGGATATGGAACGCGTTAAACATTCCATACAGCTTTACATCCCGTGAAGAGCTTTTTGTGGTACTGTATTTGAAGCCATTACATCATTCGCTCAAAATACTTTTTGGATTTCTATTACAGTCGGGAAGGACTGAATTCCATTGATCCTAACCATCACTGCAAAAAATCGCCCCCTTCAACCCGAACCAAGTCATCAAGTTGAAAAAAATCTTCGAATAATGTGTAGATTAAAAAATATTCAGTAGTCCTCATATGCGTTAAAAAAAATGCATCACGAACTACGACTTTCAAAATTCTGGGCAATTGGGACTCATTTTCTCAAAAGGAGGATGGGTCAAAAAGTAGGTTATTTACCCTTCATGTCGACCAAGCGTCACGACAGTATAATCAGAAGTGTCCTGAACGGGAATGCTGAGGAATTTGATCAAATCCTTGCTGGCAACGAAGAAGTGAAAGCCGCCTTGGGAAACACCAGCGACTTCCGCGTCACAACTCGCGGAGTCCCAGGCGATATCCGTGACGCCAAATTTCCCAACTGCAGAAATCGGAACTGCTGCGACTTGAGCTACGCGATAATCCACATTATCCGGGTTCACCTGGAAAGATTAACATATTTTTTTTCAAGAGCACAAAAGCGACACAAAATCGATTACTCACGTGACTGGCGAGCATTTGAAAATTGAAGACGAGGATTTCGCTTTGAGTTACTGCGGCCAAAAGCCATGGAGCGTGTTTATGGGGACAAAATTTCACAATATTCACGAAACCGTTGTCGTGGGTAACAATCCTTTCGGTAATCGGCAATGGTTGCGTCGGGTCTGCCCGATCATCCATTTTCCCAAAATCAGCCATTTGAGTTCTAGAAAAAATCTGTAAAAAAAAAAAATGTGCGAAGATCTACGACATAGACTATCAGTTAAAAGTTTTTTTCCCCGCCACTTTTTTAGAAATACTGTATTCAACTGTAGAGGTAGGTTAAGATGAGATTGCTGACCAATTTTTCAGCTTGCGAAAATTGAAAAAAACTGTGTGGCGAAAAAAAAAATTGGAGAACAAAACACATTCGTGCGAATGATTCTGCACGATTTTTTCTTCTCATCGTATTCCGTTTTTATTGTGTTTTTCAGCTAAGTTTTCCCATTTTTTTCGCCGTTTTTTTTCTCCACAATCTACTTTTGCGTTTTGATACGACTCATGTTTGGATAGGTGAAGGGACGCTTCTGAAGAACGTTGCACTCTTGTCATCTGAAACTCGACTCGCAGGAAGCGGAAAAATAAGATCGTCGTTGAAATACTTGCACACATACACACGATAAATACAACACCGAGAAATGGTTCAAGGAACAAACGTCAGCGGGGAGAAAAACAAGAAGAAAAGCTGCCTCCCTTTGAAGAACCCACCTTTTTTCTTTCTCCCGTTACCCAGAAAACTTTTTCTTTTCTTGTCAAATTCAACCCCCACTTTTCTCATTATCCCGCAAAATTTTTCTTTGGCCCCCTAGAACAAGTTACAAAAAACTTTGCTTCATTTCCCTGGAAACAAAATCGTCAACAATTACCTCACCGCGCTTTTCATCTACAAGAAAATGAAAATCACAATCTTTTTTTTTCTTTCAAATCGCGATGCGGTCACGAGAGCCAACGGGAAATGCTTGAGTGTTTTTTTAGCATGAATGTTCTTTTACGAAAAAAGGCGCTATCACAAGAACCTCTCATTTTATCGGCATCTATCACAATTTTCTCAAAAAAATTCGTCGATTGTGTAAAACACAAGGTGAACAAAATCTTATCCCACGTTCAAATAAAACGCGATTCTTACAATATCGTGATCAGTAAAAACAAACCGACTCCCGTCACTGAAGATCACTGAGAGCAAAAAACCTCGTCTACAACCTGAGAGGGAGCTTTTGCGCAAGAACGAACAGGTACTCCAAGAATTACCGAAATTGCTCAAACCGGTCGTCGTAAAAAATTTCTTTCCCTATGCCATATCTTCCCCGAACTGTCAAAAAACCAGATTACGGTGCCCTCCTATCCTCATCACAGCTCAGACTGCCGTATTTAAATTTCACCCTCGGTTAGTCTCTATTTTTTTAGCTAGTCTGTCACCACACCTCTTCCAAACGACTACCTAGTCATCAAAATCAATTACATCTCCAGCAATATCACTTCGGTTGACTTTTACAACGCAAATTCAGAAACAAATACACTTCCAACTTCTCTATAAATATGGTAAAGAAACACTCCTGCAACATTTTTCCTCCTTTTTTTGGGAAATCCTAAGTCAAAACTCCATTATCTAGAGAAAATTCCAGTACAAAGACGCATTTTTAATAAAGTCAAAAATCGCACAACTGCGGGGAAAACACTGCAAGAAAGAAACAACGTCGATGAGCTTCCGGCATGGTGACAAACTAACGCAACAAGAAACTCCTCTTCGGTATCCCTCCCAACCCGCCCCCTACGAACACATTCCTGTTCAAAAATCGCGGCCATTAACGAACAAACCCCCCACCCACCCCAATCCCCCGGGAAGGTCGCTCAAAGGGAACAAAAAAATTAAGGCACAGAAAAAAAACGAATCGAAACAGGAAAAACAACACATCAATCGCTCAGATTCCGCAGGAGTCTTTTTCTTTGCTTGGGAGAGCGGTCGCTTAGGTATATACAGCTAGAAATGGGGTGAGACGTCAAACGCCATAAGTGGTGGCAAGTCGCTCGCGAAGTGGCTGCGGGAACTGCTCCGAAAACCGCGTCCAATTCTCCTCGCCCACTTGAGCTTTGAAACTGTGTAGGATCTGGTGGAACATTTCCTTCAAGTCGTCTCTCGGGTGCATCCACGACGCGATCGCGTCACAGAAATATATGAAATCCTGCACCACTCCGGTTGGATTCATAGTTACCTACGAATGTAACGAACCATGAAATATAACATCCACTCTAACTTCAAGAGACAAGCAAAAAAATTTGACGTAGGGTGGTTTCGAGTTCGGGAAACAGGTATTGGGGGAAAATAAAGAAGAATTACAGGATATGTGATATTCTAGCTTCTTAAAATGATGACCGGATGCTGAACTTGGAGGCAAGGGCTTATTCGCCCAATCACTCATTCACTTCCTTTCGAAGCAAGTGAAACTTTTGTTGCCTTTCTCTTTCTTCTGACAATAAAATAATCGCCTAAAGGGCTACAGAAAATTCGAGTTATGGCCATTTGAGGAGGGAAGCCTTGGAGTCAGGGAGATTTTTAATGCATTTATTCTGCGGGAATTCAGAGAGGGACTATATAACAATTTGACGAAGAGAAGCATTCGACTCAGAGAGGGTCCAGTTATCGAGTTTCAAATGCATCAATAAGACAATGACCCTTATTAAAAACAAGAAACACTGACTATTCAAGTACAGAAACCCTAACAAATATGCTGAACTCGCTTCATGCAAAAGTATTGCACTTTCATCGCGTGTTAATTGCGTCAAAAAATCTCATTACTTAATTACATCAATAATTAGAAAAAGCTCAACAGGAAATACTTCGCGAAGCAATAAGATTCAGCTTCGGCCTGGGTTTCTACACTCCGAACAGTTCCAACACGTATAAAGCTTCATTGCAGAACACCCTCATGAAAACTTACCATCAGACAAACTCCACGAAACGCAGAATCCTTTTCTTCATTGTCCCTAATATTTCTCAGCGCCATGCACCAAGGCCTAATAAAGGCGCTCAGCATCGGCGCCACTTCCTGCGGACACACAGCTCCAATCCTTCCCAGTGTGATCGCAGTATTTTCCAACAAAGTCTTGGGTGTGCTCGGCCGGTTTATGATGCTCACCAACTGCTCCAATACTAACGAAACGTAAACTTTCGTCTCCGCGCCCATCTTAATTGACAATTCGCCGATGGCCCACGTGGCATTGTTGCACACAGAAATTAAATCAGGGTTCAGGTTGGCGCCCAGTATTGGCATGAAGTCCGGGATGTGCGGGGCCAGGTGTTCAAAAGAGGCTTTGGTGAGGTCTCCGAGGAGAGCGAATGAACTTTGGCGGACTTCGGGCATCTGGTCTTGCATACAACCGTACAGTAGCGATAGAAGGTTTGATTTGCCAACAAGCTCGGAAATGTGCCCGTTGAGGCCTTCCGCCAAGCCACTCAACAAGTCTAATGCCACTATCATGAAATCTTTGTCTGGAGCATCCACCTGAAAAATAATAAAAAATAATTAAATGAACCAATTATTTAGCAGCAACTGCTCAACATTTTACAATATTCGAGTATTACGCGTACCTTTCTTTTATCAAAATTAAGAATAAAGAAGATGCGTTTCATAGGTGGGTAAAACATTTCCTTAAAATTCCAAGCTTTGGTGCACCTGACACTTGATTCCAACAGGGTGAAATTTTTTTTTAAAACAATTGCTGTACCAAATTTGTATAGACACATATACTGTTAAAAGATTGAGAGAACTGAGAGGTAATGTTCATGCAGTAGTCATAACGATATGAATACACAATTTAAAAAATGGAAGTGATGAAACATGTACATTAAATCTGACTAAAAATACTGTACAGTCATGTCAAAATGTGAATTCTAGTTTTGTTCGAAACATTCTAGTTTTTAGTCCCTAAAAAAGCGGGCGCATCTCAATCAGGTATACATTTTTATCCAAATTTTAAAGTTAAAAAATTCAGATGCGCGCTTTATTCAAGGGCATATGGAAGCAAAGTAAATACGGTACACCCAAAACCTAGACGTGAGATTCCTAGACTCATCAAGGTTAGAATACTTCACTATATTCCTCATTTATAGTATTCAACTAAATATACATCGAAGTATGGTTTTAGTACATTAATACAATTTTTTCACACGAAGCATTCGAAAAAGTCGGGTAACTAAAAATCAATTTGCGGTACACGGCACAACTACTCCCAACTTTTCCAATTATTTTCCCATGCATGCTCGAACCTCTCCTAGTCTGATTTCTTCATTTTCAAACAGGCGTCGCCTAAAACCCTAAATTGTCTGGGACGTAATTTCAGAGATAACATCATGCTAGCTTCATACCCGGTCGACTACGTGATTAGAAAGACATCTGCCAGAAATTCTCAAAAAAGAGGTTGGCCGGGCGACGAAGAGAAAAAGACAGTTCTTTAATAATACAAACGCTTCCGCATATTGGTTCTATTTTTACATGTTCGGTCATGATTCCTCAAAGCAGAAAATAAATTGACCTGCTCAGGATGCAATTGGCTGGCCAGCGTCTGGTTCGTAGTTTGCTCGATGAGCGAAACGCAACGAGTATACACTGGCTGCGCATATGGCAAAAATCCGTTTTGCAAAGCCGTCGCGATGCTCGACAGACATTCCAACAAAGGAAACAAGTCCTTGTCTTCATCCCGCAAGGAATTCCACTTGGCGATCAGCGGCGGCATCAACAACTCAATGTACTCGGGCTGATTCAAATGGTGTCCTACACTTTCGGCCAGAGTGCCTATGGCATCGTACAAGATGAGCAAATTCTTGTGCTGGTACTTGGAGAAGGCAAAAGTGAGAGTTTCGAGAATGAAGCGGAGATGAGGAACGAGTTCTGTGCACGCATCTTCTTCGAGGGTGGCGAACGCGCTGCAAGCTGCTTCTTGCACGCGTTTGTTAGGGTCCAGAATTCGCTTCAAGAGCTCGTCGATCAACGGTTTTAAAAATACCTCCTTTGACTGTTGTACTACCCAATGGGAATATCTGAAAAAATAAGCCGATCATCACGCTTCACGAAACTTTCCGCAAAATTAACATTAGAAGATTCAAGCAATTTTACCTCTAACATGAGCAAATTCATTCGAAAAACCCTGCGACAACCTCCCATTAAACATCGTCCAGCAGAAAAATACAATAATATCTAAACATAATCCAAAAAGAATAAATATAGTACAGTGCTGAACTTGAGAACTTGTCTGAAGGACTTAAACCGAATAATCAAAAAGTTCTTCCACTTGCTCCAAGCTAATACATTGGAATCTCTTTAGAACGAATTACTGTAATGCTTACAATGAAATTTGGTTTTTTGTCACTTTCGAATAGTCAATACGCTATTTTAGTACTGTTTCAAAAATTTTTCACAACGAAGCTTTTTCAAGGTTCCAAATGATTAGTCGTAATGAGTTTCTACTTAAGAACAACTATAGTCAATAAATTATCCTTTTAATAGAGATTTCATGAGAAAATTTTACGTACACAAAGGAGAGTCCAAGTTTTGAAACACAAGTTAATTCAACCTCAAAATTCGAATCGCGCAGGGGCGAAACTCCTCAAATTAGAAAGGCGGCGAATCAAGAAAAGTCCTGCTCATACTTGAAAATTTCTGTTTAGACGAATAATTCAGGAACACAGTACTTCATTTTCAAAGAGGAAAACGAATAAATATGAAGACTGAAGAAAATACGTTACCGACTCAGCGTCCAGCAAGTAATGGATCGCACAAGGGCTTTCCTGTCGGACAAACAGTTGATCAAGTACGGCACGAGTTCAGGCAAGTGCGTCAGCATCCCGGCAATGCAGCCCTCCGCCACGGCACCCAAGGCAAGAATGCCAGATTCCTTTATGATCCAGTCCTCGTGGGTAACAGTTTCCTTCAACACTGGCAGCAACACGTCAAGAAGCTCCTCTCGGAAAACGTTCGCGAGAACGTCGAGCGCAGCAGCAGAACACTTGCGCAAATTCCAATCAGACATAGGTTCATCCGCATCCGGATCGTCTTCGTCATCATCCATGTCTCCATCCATGAAGTCCGCACTGTGAACCGCGGGGACGCCATCAATCACCCCAGACTCGGAGTTTGAATGACGCCTCGGCTGGTTTTGACCATGCGCTTTTGCCCTGGAGGAAGAATAATTGAAAAAGACTATATCACACCCAGGCATCACTATATTGGCAAAAATCTGCCAATATCGGGATGACGATACCCAATTCTATCATTTGATTTGAGAAATTTTCCACGATTAGTCATGTACGACGAACAGTTCAAATGATACACACTAACACAGTATCACAATGAGATACAGTATATTTTTCGCGACTCACCTGTGAAATCTTGGACGAATGTCTTCATCTCGATCAGGGATCATTCCATCATCTTCAACATTTCCTCTCAAGAGCATAATATCCACAGCGGAATACTTCATGCAACGAACAAGCGTAGGTACCAAACGGTTCAGGTGTGTAACTAAAATTTCTTTGCAAATCGGCTGTTCTGCAAGAGACAACCAGAATTCGCATGCTTCTAAAGCGACGACTTCGTCCGCGTCTTCAGTCCGTAACAGCATATATTCCACTATATTGTGCATCTCGGGGATGAGCCGATCCATTCTGACTTCAAGTAACATCACTAGCGCACGACAAACATTTTTCCGAACTTCCGTATCCTCATCATTGGAGAGGAGGAACAGGTTTTTAAGGAATGCGTCTATATGGTTCATCAGACAGTCGGTTTTCCCTACGATGAAGAGATTGATGCAAGAGATGGCGTGTGCACGGATTTTCGGATTTTTATGCCCAAAGAAGGAGATGAACTTCGGAATGAGGGAGTCAACCGGCCTGTTGAGGGCTTCGTGATCCAACATTTCCGCGGAATCTTCGCAGATTTTTTGCAAAGCACCAAACGCACCAAGACAAACGTTGTCATCGACAGAATCGAGCATAACGGTAAGTCTCGGAATGAAGTCCGGCCAGCTTGGTAACTCTCCCTGCGAACAATCGAAAAATAAATTAGGAGTTTTAGGACTAATACAGTATTTAGAACAGAAGTGAATACTGACCCTCATGCTGACGATAGTGGTGAGAAGAATGCCCACAGTGGCTCGAATAAGGTTAGAGGAGTCCCCAATGGCATGAAGACATTCTGACTTGATAAATTCTTTGACGTCAGGAGGGAAGCTTAGCCAGTAACTCTTGACGTTGTTTTTCAGGATCAATCCGGCCAGGGATCTAGTGGCATCATCTTCCGAAGTGAGACGCGTCAAGACGAAGATCAAGTAATTGTTGAAATCAGGATAGCGGTTCAGTTCCTCCAGTTTATGCCGAACAGCCTGCTGAATGTCATTATTTGAAGCTTGCGACTGCTTCAACAATTCAAGAATTTGCGCTAATCCATTGGTATCAGGCTGCCATGTAAATCCAGGCTGTGGAGCGAGGGATTTCTCCCCTCCGTTGCCGAAATTCATCGTCAGAAATCGCGGAAACAGGAGACTCGATCCGTATTTATTGGTTAGCTCACGAATAATCTGAAACAAAATTCGGACACTGCATGGCCATCGACACTCACACGCGGTTTCCTTAAATGCACCTAACATTCACAATCTTACAACTTCGTTTCGACTAGTTGCGTCACGTTCCAACACTGCCGGCAACATTTACCTTCATATCGACCTCATCTCGACGACCGGTTTGAGGAATTTTCAGATTTACAATTAAATCGAGGCCGATACCGGATATTTCCACCCTCAAGCCTAAGTCACAACGATGCCAATAAAATTACCAGCAACGCATGATTTCTTAATTGTAGTGGTTACATTTTTCATCATCTCATCCAATGCTAAGACACTCCTTGGCCGTACAAAAGACATAACCGCTTTCGTAACCGATCTTGTCGAACTTGCCGCTCACTTGTACCAACAGGTCTGAATTTGTGTCGCGCCGTAAATGGTAAGTGTACCTCCTTTGTGAATGTTAGGCTTCTTACGGAAGGCCAAGTGACAACTGAAAATCTCAGTTTTCCAGGAGAACGAATAGATGTCGCCAAGAGAGGTAATGGTGAAGCCTTACGCCACATGGTAACGGGCATACACCAGAACTCACCCGCACAGAAATCAACCCCTGACCGCCAAGCCCCCTGCGCTTGGCGGTCCACCCTCCGCGCTTGGCGGTCTGCCCCCGCCAAGGCACCTAGTCTTTCCTTGGGTGACAGACCCCCACCAGCAAGGAGCTAGAGGGAGCTATTTATTTGAACATCCTATATAGTTAAGGGTTCCAACCCTGTCCTTCTAATAAGGAATGCATTCCTTATTGGAAGGACAGAGAGTCTGGAGCGGAGCCCTTCTGTTTCAATATTCAATTGAAAGCGACCGTGCGTGTTAAGATCAGCTTCACTTGCAAAATCCGTATCCTTTAAAGAATTTTTAAAATCCGAGGGCTCACAACACCTCCTCTGAATGCTGTTATTCAGATGATATAAAATATACTGGCATCCAGCATATAGTAACTGCTTGACAGCAGACCATGCATTGTACTGTATATAGTCATTGCTCTATATGGAATTAGCGTATGCTGCATTATCAAACTCCCTCCAGACAAGAAACAATCTGTAATAAATGAGTTGAAAAAATAATATGCAAAAAAGTGCATGAGAAATTATTGCACTGTGCAAGTTATTGTTGCTATCCCATTTATTTATTTTTTCAGGGTCGAAGTATATATAGTCAGGGTGCAACTTATTTGTTTGTTGCTATCTAAGTTGTCAACTGCGGCTCCCTCTAGCTTCTCGCTGGTGGGGGTCTGTCACCCAAGGAAAGACTAGGTGCCTTGGCGGGGGCAGACCGCCAAGCGCGGAGGGTGGACCGCCAAGCGCACGGGGCGGGGGGTTGATTTCTGTGCGGGTGAGTTCTGGTGCGTGCCCCATGGTAACCGATGTACCTCAACATTGCTCTCAAGAAGATATAGTACAATAAATCCTCATTACAACAAGTATTTTTATTATTTTTATTACAACCAAATACATTTGTATGATTTCAAGATTCCTGCTCAATAGCTTCCATGCTATTTGAGTTTACTTTTAATAAATTGTCCTTTGTAACAATACCATCTTATTGGCCACAACAGCACTGTTGTAACAAATTACAGTATTTACTACATAAAGAAACCTTGTTAGATGCTAACGAAAATTTTAATCTGGTCCCCTGGATTAAGTTATCACGAGTCCACCGATAAATTAATTCATCAGTCCTTCTGAAATCAAGCGGAGTTCAAATTACACGGCAAGCACTGTATGTTCAGAAATAACAAAAGCAGTTTTTGAAGTGGGCAAGAAAGTTCCAATTCAAAGGCTTTATTCCGACTGTCACAAAAATCATTTGAAGATCCTTGAAATACCCGACGTGCAAATTCAACCTAAACCCATGTTACGAACTCAAAAATACACAGCACGAAATGGAAAATAAGTATGTGAGGACAATTTTGATTGGCAAGTAAATAGTATCGTTGTTGGCAAGATTCTTCTGGCGTCAGCAAAACTGCCCCTTTTCAGCAGAATTCTACAAAAATGAAGAGAAATTCAGAAAAATAGGAAAAAAAATTGAGAATTGCACGGATACTCACGAATGGGTACAAATCACAGATGACACCTCGAAGGTCCCTGAGGGCTCTCCACATATCTGAGCGTTTCTGCGGTGGAAAAGAAGTATACAATACTTTAATCAAAGATCGCGCGAAACAAAATTGATCATATCTTTGAATTGCATCACTGGGTCGAAGAAATAAAAACGAGATCCCGAACAAAATAATTCAATTTAACTCACGCCGTTGATTACGATGGTTGGAATAAAATCAATTTTCGGTCGAAGATTATGCGTCATTTCACCGTACTTCGCAAGCAGCTGATTGCCTTGCTTCCCCTTGGAACACGCCTGAATTTCATCCCAATGCCCGAACTTCAGGTTATCGTTGCACTGTAGAAAATGTAAAAAAAAGTACTGTAGAACATTTTCAAACTGCCTTACAATATGAAAAAAAAATCCTACCTGTTTTCCAATCCCCAGTGGATCTCGATTCCTCTTGATCATGCAGTCGACATAACGCACTATTTGTTTCGGATCATCTCCTTCCTTTACAGCTGCTATCACACAGGAATGTACCTTGTTACCTTCACACTCCAACGGCCCATGCTGACATTCGAATGTGTAATCATCACTTGACCGGATCGTCTGAAACGAATTCGATCTTATCTCATTCTTAGAATCAAACCAAGACCCTCGGAGGTTTGGTAGGACGTAATCGTCCAGAACCGTTTTGTGCAGTGAAATCGTAAGCACAAGTAAGCAATGCGTTTCAATTCCTCTGTGAAACGCAGACAGAAGTACTGTACTACATTTCCAGACTTGGAGGTACATGAAGATTTCTTAGAAGTTTTGAAAATCACCAAAAACCTGCGAATATATATATTCAAATTTATCTACATACATATACCGTAGCTAAATGTTTCCGGAAATTCTTTATTCCTAAAAATTCAAAACATTCTGCTATTATGAACATGAGAAATAAAAATTTTGCACGGTAGTAGTGAACCAGTTAAAAGAATATGCGATTTCAAACAGGAGAGTATGCTTTTTTTCATGCCCCCCTCCCCTGACTTCCAAGGAAGTTCGTCGATAAAAAAACCACAAAAAATTTACGGAAAATGTCAAACCTTCACATACAGGTGGATTCTCCGTACAACAAAATTCTGGGACCAGCAAACAAATTCGTAACAGAGAACACCTATTGGATGTTTAGAGAACTTCAATGGGATCACAAAAGCCTTTATACAGAGAAAATTGCTGCAGACAAAATCGTTGAATGACAGAAGGCAAAATTGAAATGCAATTAGCAGTGACATCTCCCAAACCTGAAACAATTGCGACTGAAACTAACAAATCCAGGAAAATCTACCACATGTTCAACAAGTGTCCAACTACAGTACGCATTAAATTTCTGGACACCCCAAACGAAATAAATTCGTAGATAAGATAAAAATAAAAAATTCACCTCGGCTTTTCCGTATGGAATCAACTCCACGTCCAAGACATGCGTCGGGAAACGTTCCACGCATGGCAACAGTTGCGTAACGATGAAAGATCTACTATCAGGACATAGGGATTCGTAATAAATTTGGATTTTCACCGGTGGGCTTTTCGGCGAGTTTCCAAGAGCACCGGTTCCATCAGTAATATTTGTCGTATCGGTCACAAAGCTGGCGATCGACCAGACAGCTAAAACTACGAAAACTACGAACATGGCTCTCAACACTAATCTAACTCGAGAAAGCTCCCATGCCATGTTTTAACACGCGGTGCAAACGCGATCGTTGGTGACCGAACACATCCTTGCAAAAAAACAAAGAAAAATTCAATGTCGGGTGCAAAAGAAAAAAAAACCCTCAATTCGAAAAAATCCCAATAATATCAAGCTAGAAAATTCTCGCAACAAGATCTTACGCTGACGTTGGAACTTAATTCGCAATCAAGAAACGAAGAACTTATGAAAAAGACTCTTACTTAAATTTAAAATGTATTGCACTTGATCGTACCTCATTTAATAACTAAAATCACACGAAAGCACACAAGTGAGGGAACCAAGTTCGCAGCAGGAAGGAAAAGTTAGGCAGGAGATTTATTCTGCGCATGGATAGTACATCTGAATCTACGCACAACCTCCTTTTTTGCTCAGCTTCCACAACTTCCTACAACAGAATGCAATTCAACAACATGTTCTAAAAACTTCTCCTCATTGCACACAACGTTCACCGAGGGATCTCTTCTTCCTTGACAGCAAATGATGCGCTGATTTTCATTTTGTTGGGGAAAACGGGGTAGGGGCCATGATCCTCGTTTCCATATGCCGGATCAGCGGAACAGTGTTGGCCACACACTTGTCCCAACCAGAATTTTGCCACGCAGATTCTCTCGTATTTTTCCGAGCAGCAAGAGATTCATACGCTGAAAAATTCAAATAATAAAATCCAAGAGCAGATGAATTCTCTTAAACCAATTAAAGTGATGCATAGAACAAGATGACACATCGCATTCATGAGGATGTCATTGAGCAATTGAAAAGTTTAGCGGGGGATTTTTCAGAAGTTGTGCTGATCGCCTAAAATATACTTTCAATTCAAACAAAACACATCATTCTTGAAACTCATGTTTAATCCCGATATAAATTTTACAAAACAAGAAAAAATTGATTTCGGAATTACTTTTGTGAGGATATTTTAAAAATATAACTTCCATGATAATTATATTTCGTATTAATGAGTAGTTCATCCTTCCTCAGAAATACGCGAAAAGCTACTGTGAAAAATATCGAGGACAAGAGCTGAAGTTCAGCCAGACTTGAAAACAGTCACATCACGCTTGAATTCAACATTCGTCACTGGCTTCCTTGGAAACACATGGAATGTATAAAAATGTGAAGTGCTGAGACTGGGCACGTAGATTATACGAGTGCTTTCCCACGAATCACCGGGGAATCGTCATTGCAGTAAGACGAATCAGGGCCAGAAACTAATCTCATAACCATCCTTTCAAATCGGTTTAAATGGAAATTCCACCCCATTCAACCCAGAAAAAAAATTAGTACAGTTGCGGGAAAGATGGCACCAAGATTTAAGAATCCTCTATGTCTATGAAGAAGGAACATTTTCAAATGCCACTTCGATACTCTCCAAAGATCAACGATACAGATCGTAAAAACAAATTTCTGATTGAATCTCGTTCCAATGTTTTTTGGTAAAAATCTATTTTAAAATCAACCATGAATATCTGAAAACTGATGCCCATGATTTATCAGCTTTAAAAGAAAATAGTTACTGGTGACTCGCAGATCTCCTGAGAAATCCCGCGTAAAAATCGGACTTACAATAGGGAAAAACAACGTTAACTCACTCCAGATGTGATGGACTTGGTACAAGACTCCGATCTGAGAAAAGAATCCGGCGTAAGGAGCATCATTCCCCGTCCGATGTCCGATTCCACGGGCCCAATTATTTCCCCACTCAATCATGGTACCAGGTTTGAGAGTGTAACTCCGAATTTCGTACAAATTCGACCCCGGTCGAAACCTGATAGGTGGCCAGTAGCTGAAGGACAAGAGGTATTGAGTTCTGCGAGACCTGAGGAACGGCGTTCTTTTGTTCCGAAGAGCAGCAAAATCCTTTCCATGTCGAATGAAAAAAAGGGAAAAATGAACAGAGCGAATAAGATTTTTCATCTTACAAAAGACACATTTTTACACTACATCAACAGTTTTCGACGAGCATTGCTGTTGGACTCGCGATGAGAAACCAGTACTTGCTAAAAATGAGACAGGTTTTCCACTGCGGTTAGTTTTCGCCAGAGAGACTTATTGCCTGGGAATTTCAACATTTTTTTGTTGCGATTGCATATCATGGAGAAATACCGCAGTTCAATGAAATCTTTAATAATTAATTCGAAAATTAACGCTCAATTATTACACTCTTATTTTCTTTAAAATATTACTGTTCGATTTAATCTTATTTATTACAGTACTCTAAGGGTCCCCAAATAAAGTACTAATGCGTTCCTGATACAATGCGCAATGTGGAATTTTCTTACTGCGAAACGCGATTTATTTCAAGGTAAAATTATAAACTATTTAAGCCCATTATAAATGCAGGCTTAGTTTTCAATTTATTGTTGTGATTTTAAAATTAATTATACAGTACAGTAGTTAAATTTAAGTGAACTCGACAAGTTCTGGCTATTAAATTTCTGTATTTCGAGAATAAAAAATATATTTACTGTATACGCAAAACTATTCCCTTCTTTCACAAGTTTCCTCCATTCAATTGAAAAACTTTAAAATGTTGGTCCAAGACTTGTCAAAATTCAGGCATTTTCCAAACCAAAAATTTCGTTCAGTGAAATTATTCCGCTACGTGAGTCCCGTTTTATCCCCCTCGAATTTTCGTAAAGCGGATTTTTTGTCACGTCTGCCTTTATTTATTCGAGGACTCGCTGCACAAATTGTAGCCTTTGTGAGAAACCTAGTGCATTCTACCCCAGAACCAGGGTGTACGCGTCATCTGCCCACCAAGATCCGTTCTACTTTCAGAATTATGAGAATTTTCCGAAAACCACGGTATAATTCGTCTTACATTAAAGATTTCTTCATAATCTGAAAGTGGGGCTAATAAACTAACTTTATCACAACGCATGACAGCGGCGGTTTCGTCAACGCCAGCGAATCCATTAGAATGGCGCCAGAGATGGAGAACTTGGTCCTGGTCACCAACACCGACTACCCAGCTCCCAGCTAACTCCATCCTCACGTTATCTTTCTCCTTTACAAGCTCCACAAAATCACCACTCCAAAAATGAAACAAAAGACATCCACTCTTCAGAAAACGTTCATGAAAAATAATTAGAGAGAAGATATTTACTATGCTTTGATGTAGTCGTCCATTCGACTCGGTTTCACGTTGTGTGTCGTGAGCTCGTAGATACTTTCTTTGTCGGAAAGAAGTCGCGAGTGAGAACCTTTCCCTGTGTCGATTTTCCGCACAAGCAACTTGCTGAGCCAACCATCGTCGTCGTTCAAATTGGCACTTGTTGTGCCGAACGTGGCTGAACTGGGTGACGAGCTGTAATTATTTCGTAGAATACTCGTTTTAACGAGGAATTTTTTCAAAATTTCTGGATACACGTTTCCCGACAGACGAGTTCAAGGCAGCAATTCCGAGAAGCACCTCGAAAAATCTATTTTTCAAGAAAATTTTCACGCAAGTACAGGTCTAAATGACTACATTCCATAAAAAAAAAATGCAGCTTGCTCACGGAGGCGAAGCGCGTTTTGTAAGACGTTCTTCGCACAAGGTTCGTTTACATTACTCAAAATTGCACAATATTTTCAGAAAAAGCTGCGTTTACTTCAATAGTTTTATTTTAGTACCACCACATGATGCCACTTACCAAATCACAGATCCATGAGTCACATCAAGCCTGGAGAACAAAGTTCGCAATGCGGATCCGGAGGCGCCTTTCATTTGCGCGAAACGACTCACGACTGCTGGAACCATCTGAAATATGACGTCGAAACGGAAGATAGATTAGGCAGTGAACATGATTAAATGCATTAGCAAGAAAAAAAACAGAACATATTTTGTCAAATGGGGCTAACCTTTGTTAGCATCAAAGCAACGGACGCGTCTCCATATTAAATACATCAAATTGCCGCGAAGTTCTCTTTTCATTTCAACGAAAAAAAAAATCACCAAGTATCACAAACTTGAAGCCAAAATACGGGTCGCTCGGAAGAATGCCAGTTATTTCGATTTCTTCAACAAAATTTTGCAGTATTCCAAATATGGTATATCGCGAAAAAAATGCAAAAAGGTTCACATCAATATTTGTTACGCTAGTGAGCATACTGAAATATTGACTATGGACAAGGGGGTTTTGTGGAAGAAGTACGAGAATTCCCAAATTTGAAATCTCAAATCCAGAAATACAGTAGAGGCTGGCAAAGAAGAGATTACGCTCATGGAAAACATCGGATATATTTTGATTCAAAATTGTTTTCAGATCAAATCAGTTCTGATCGGATTCGTGAACGGGCTCATTTTCCGAAACAAAATGCGGAAGGTTTTATCATTTCACGATGTTTTATCATTTTGGAAGCCAAAAAATTCCTTTTCAAATCAAGTTTCTTGAATTAAAAGCACTCCAACGGAAGTAAATAAAACTCTCAAATGTTTATCGCATTGCGATTTCCGGAAAACTTTTCAAATTATAAACAAGTAGGCACGTGAAAGCTCCGTTCACTGACGAAAAGAAATGCTCACGTGCACCCAACTACAGCAGCAGCTGATTTGTTGGAACCAGACGCCGAAGTCAAAAAAATTGTAAATCTTCTTTCAAATAATGTACTTCAAACGTTCAATCATCGAATCCTTTCGCCTTTCGCTTTATCCGGGCATAAGGTCCAATCTCCGGGTCGGTCACGAAATCATAAAGGACTTTGATCCAAGAATTATGCTGAGGCAGGTCTTCGTAGAATTCGGGGGCCATTTTCTTCACCAAGGGCAATCTTGAACCCGGTATATTCGGGAAATCATGATGTTCGTTATGGTAGCCTACGTTGAAAGTGACCCAGTTCAAGGGGCCATAATATGAATAGGTTTCGAAGCCTTTCTTGAACATGTAGTGTTCAGATATAAAATGCCCGGCGACGGGATGCAATCCCATGGCGAGAAGCGTTCCAATGAACATATAAGCAACGCATTTCCCACCGAAGAGGTACCACACCAATGCGTTGAAAGACAGCTGAGCAATGGAGTTCAATACTTCAAGAGGTGTAACTGGTTTTGGATAAGTAACGAGTGGACGAAAAGCGTAGAACAATGGCTGTAAGCAGACCCACAGGAACTTTGTACCCGCCGTCGAAAACAACTGCAACAGAGGTCAAATCAGGCCATTCAAAAGGACACATGATGGAAATTCAGCTCCAATTACCTTTGCTTCCAAAGAAGTCGGTATATCAGTATCTTTCTTCTCGTCACCCTGATATTTGTGGTGCTCTAAGTGGTACTTCTTGAATGATACCGAGAATGGAAGACCAATGGGTAAATTTGCAATGAATCCGAGCATTCTATTTGCCAGTGGTCTTGAGTGTCCGAAGGCCAAATTGTGCGCAATCTCGTGGACTGCAAGCATTAGCGAGTGATTGATGACGCCTCCGAAACAATAGGCGGCCAATACAAGCATCGGCCAAGATAAGTCTTTCACAATGACATAAGATAAAAATTGAATAACAACTAAACCGATGACGATCCATTTGAAATTTGGATCATGACCCATCAGCTGTTTAATTTCAGGATGTTTCGCCAAAATTTCCTTGCGGCGGGTGGCGTGAGGTTCAGCGGAATACACCCATTCAAAATCGGTTCGTGACACATGTGCACCCATAATGCACTGTGAAACAAGGGAATTTTACGACTCGAGAAAGCACGAACTGTGAACGAATGCAAAAATAACCCACGATCAGTTTCAACATCGTCCCTGTACTCGACGAAATACGGCATTTTTTAAAACAAAAATATCCACGCGAAATCGACCTATGCGATGAATCTTCGAATGCACATGATACTCCACGAACACTAACGCACGGTACAGACCACGACTTCTTTCACACCCCTCTCACGAATACCCTGACGACGTGATCACCGCTAAACCACTGAAGCGCACTGAATGGCGAGACCCAACCTCTTAGATCCCATACAGCGGGAGCGCATGTACATGTACAGTACAGTACTGTACTCAACTGTACTGTAGTTCCATGTCATCGTTTTGCTGACTGCAAGCGACACCTAGTGAACAATATTACTTGCGCTAATGACTCCATGTTCATGTACAGTACAGTACAGTTTTCGCCCTCTTGTAACGGTTCAATTTTCCCACAATGAAATGTTCCCCTCATTAGTATTCGTTCGTTCAGGGATCCTGCCACACCGGGGGGACAATCAGTCTCGTTCATCCTCGCATATGATCGAGGTATCATTCTCGAGACGGTTGTGTAATTTCGATCAGTTGTTGGTGGTGCTCCGTGCTCTTCAGTCTTCTAGTAATTTATTTCTCAAGTTTGGCGGTTGAACAGAGGTTTTCGGCTCGAAAGTTCATGAAGGAAACCTCAACACATTGCAGGCTAATTTATTCATTCTCTCGTCTCGTGATATCAACGTCTTCTGCTTGAGATATTTCGTGATATTATGGCTTGTGTGACTGTTGGATTGAAGCGTCCGCTGGAGTTCGACTCTCTTCATACGCCTACTCGTCCACTAAAACGACGTCGGTTTGCTGCAGCCCTAATAAGCAGCAGCGGTTCAGCAGAGAATTGCTCAGACGTCATTAACGTCACGAGATCTAATCCGTTTGCTGAAGTGAAGGGTAGATTCACCCCTGGTAGGTCGCATGTTGCATAATGCTACAGAATATGTTTTAACTCTTCTTCAATTTTAGATGATATTGCCGCCAGTATTCGTGATGAAGTCAAGCGCCTGCACAAGCGAAAGCAGCTGCACTCGTCGCCTGCAGAAGCACGCTTATCACCGGATAACTTGATCTGTGATGCCTCTCCTCCGCATTATGCTTTTTCATTAGACAGCCCTCTTCATTCCGCCTTGGATTCTGGATCTGCAACCTCTCCAAATGCTAGTAAAGACAAACCCATCTTCACTATGCATCAGGTGAGTGTGTTCGCAAACGATTCTCCTGGTGGTCGTGTTTTGTACATTATTTTATGCATTCTTTGTTTCAGGTCGGACTCATCTGCGAACGAATCTTGAAGGAGCGCGAAGCTGCGATCAGTTCTGAGTACAATCAAGTTCTTGCCGAGAAATTAGCGGAGCAGTATGAAACTTTCGTGAAATTCACCTATGATCAGATACAGCAGAAGTACGAATGTGCTGCGGCTCCAAGCTGTAAGTTTAATTATTCAAGAGTTCTGTCATTCTGTGCTGTTCGGCTCCTTTTTCGCGTCTAGAAATTTTGTAAAATAATCAATTTTTTATTTCGTATGCTCTTTTGTTTCAGATCTGTCTTGAAGTGAGCCTCTTTTCCGAAAGCGACCTACGGAAAATCGTCCATTGGGAAGATTCCAGTGAATTACATACGAATTTCATTGTTTTTCCATGCCTAGTTCTCATGATGACCTAAGAAAAAATCATTTGGGAGCCTCTTCGCTGTGCATCATGATTAAAATGACGTGTATGAAGCTTGTACTTCTTTCTATTCGAATGCCCGTGATCTTCTCAGATCTTGAGGATATTTATGAATACAGGGTAATATTTTTCGAACAGGAAGTTCGCATGAAAATCCATGATTGCTATGTTCATCTCAATTGAAGTTTTTTTTTTTGTACTTCTAAGAAATGGCATTGGCTGTCGTTTGCGCCACTACTACTTCATCCACTTGTTGCAGATAAATGTTCTGACCCGCTTTTTGAGAATTGATTGATTTCGGCGCTAGGCGCATTTTTTTTTCTTTTATCTTGCGTTTTTGGGACAGACAATTTTCTGGAGAATATGTGTGCGGAAGGCGTTGAAGCGTTACTTGGAAGCAAATTTTCCACTGCTTAATCTTCGGGAATAATTTCTCCCTTCAGATGTATACAACTGTGAAAAGATGACAACGAAAAGTAAGGAGGATTCCAGGTTGGAATCCGAAATCGAACGCGGTCGTGAAGAGTCCGACTGGAAGCGCGTTATTGAACTTGCCAAACTTCGTCGCGCGAAATATTCAGAAAAGGATGTGCTTGCTTCGTTCCTTTTGGGCGAAGGCCTGTTGGAAATCTACCTTGAGGAAAACGCCCCTGTGGAAGAAAATTGTGCTACAGCGAAAAAGAAACTAGCGGAGGCGAAAAGTTTGCTTCATGACGCGAGCAGCGAACCCGGGATCGCATTGGATGCTAAGCTGTTATTAGCCAAAGTTCACTACGCCGAAGGGAATCACAAGGAAGTTTTGGCCTTGTATTCTCAAGCTGGCTTGGAAAACTTGAGCGAGAGGCGTCTTCCACTGCGTTCCCTTCGTATGATTGCGGAGGCCTATGCAATTAGAGCTCTTTGCACAGAAGCTTTGCCGCCAGGATCCACTAGTGAGTTTTCATTAGCGTGAACTTCCACGATTTATTTATTACTTCGAGTTAATCTCCGTCATTCTTGTAACATGATCATTGCTGTATGCTTAAATCAACCCGTTTAATAAAATTTAAATTGAAGTATGTCAAGTGATCACTTTCTCAGTAGTGTGATTTTTTTTTACTGAAGAAGTGACTTGAATTCACGTATAACTACCACGGTATTTTCTTGATTCGCGCGCATCCTCGAGTAGGACATCCACCCGATCTTCTCATCATCGAATTTAAATATTTCAATTCAAAATGTCTCTTACTTATCCCCAAGTAAGACGCACTGCACACTCACTATGACAGAAAAGCTGCCATGTTTTAGGTATTAAATAAAGCAAAATTTGAATTTGACTTTAAATTATTTTCCAATTTTTTCCATGAAACACTTGCTTTTTAAATGGATCAAAATTTATTGGTGGAATCAAGTATTACACACACCTGAACTTCACATTATTGAAGCTAATTTTTTGTTGAAAATAACTAGCGTAACGTGTTTACTCAGAGCTAATGCTTGTAACTTCTTTGTTCTCAGCTCGATAGAAAACAATCCCTCCATCAATTCATAGGTCCTTAATCCAGGCGCCAAGTTTTCCCAAGCGAACTTTCTGCGACAGTAATTTTTTGCATTTTTCCTACATATTTTTGTTCATATGCAACCATGTACTTGTGATAATTCAGGGCGGCATAAAACAATAAATGCGCGTATGCAGTGTATTTCTTTTAAGCCGATTGTAGTAAATAAATTGGTATTATTGTCGAGGAAGTAGGTACATTATTTTAGAACCTTGTTCGTTTGTTTGCATGTGTTTTTTTTTTTTTTTAGGTAAATTCCGTGGCTCGGAGCGTCAAGAACAAGTAATATCATGGTACGAAAAAGCTAGCGACTTGGCCCTGTTATACATTCAAGAAGCAAGTTACGCTTCGGAAAACCGTGCGAACGCGGGTCAAGTCTCATCAAGTGCTACCTCAGACCCGACTGCGTCAGCTGATCGCAGCTCAAAAGCAATCCTGGGTTTGATTTTGGAGAAAGCCGTTCAACGTGGACCCATTGTTTTGCTGGCATCTGGCCATTACCAACGTGCCGTTGCGAGGTACAGGGCATTGTTGACCGCTGTTGAACCGCCGACTGCGGGTGCGAGCAGTGGAGGTGCTCAACGCCAGCTCAGAATAGCTCTGTTGAATAGTTTCGCGGAAGTGTTGATTCGAGGGGATTCTCCAGCTTCCTATCGACCTCCGCAAGGAACGCTAGAAAGAACCACGGCGAAAGCGAATGAATACACGCCGTGGATGCCAAAAAGGTTAGCGATGGCATTTCTATCAGAATGTGGTTCTTTAATATTTTTTTGCCGAATGAAAGGGTTGTCAGTCTTGTTTCTGTCGTATTGGAGTTTTTTTTTCTTTTCTTTAACTTGAGCATTAGTTTTACAGCATGATTTTTTTTCTATCCATCCTAAAGGTGGGGAGGTACCCAGTGCTGCTTGACTCAAAGGTGGCCAAGGGCCTCATTGATACATTTTTTTGGCCTGTAGTTGTTCTGAGAGTTTAAAAATATTTTTCGCTCAGGTACAAGAATCCGAACATGTTCGTTCCGAACGATTATTTCGAAGAAGTCATCCTCACGCTGTCTATTGCCGAAGCCATGGCCGTACGTGAAGCGGTGCTCAGTCAATCTCCGGATCACACGGACGCTCGACAAGCCGCCTTCAAAACGGCATTTTCAGTCTACGATCTCCTCATAATGGTCATGTCTCGTTGGCGAGAATTCGGCGTTCTGTCCGAATTTCTCGAACGTGCCATGAAGTTTTCTTTTGACGAACCGTATCCTTGGTGGCAGTTTGCCTTGTGTTTGGTGAACGTTGGCGGTTCCAAGACGCTGCGTTCCGTGCGTGCCATGGAAGAGGTGGTTAGAATGCAGCCGAATCGTCCGTTGCCGTATCTCTTGGTTGGAAGGATTTGTTTAGAACAGCTGGGATTACACCTAGACGGTCTAGAGTGGACAAATAAGGCTATTGAACGAATAGAAAACGACGAAGATGATGAATATTACGAGGAGTGTTTATGTCTGCGCAGTCGAGCTTATACGTTGAGGGTGAGTTTAATCCTGCTTTATGTACTGTAAGTTGTGACGTGAATGTGAGGCGTAATAAATTGTTCGTCGCGTGCTCAATTTTCTCTACCCCTTAAACTGATCCTGAGGAATTTTCGGATGCTGAGACTTATTGTTCTAAAAAATTTGTAATTGAAAATTTAATTTAGTCTTCATTTCCCAAAAAGATCAGTATTCAATCTATCAATGATCACGGTATTCCAAAAACGGAATACCTTTTTTTATTGTAGTACCCATTATATTCTTTCACTTGCATGACAGTATTGTATATAGGTATATAATGAAATGTTTTCAACGAAAGAAGCATCGCAATCAAAAGCTACATATGAAAATCAAGGGTGATTTTCATTGTATCGAAATTGACCTTGCAAGAGATAGTGTGCCAGCGGAGACGACGGAAAAATACGAACTTTTCAGAAAGAGAATGCGCTAAAATTTTCAAAAGACGTGTGGTTGCCAGTTTTCTGTATTTGTTTTAGCTCCTGGTTCAACGCCTCAACCGTTTCCCGAAATGGAATTGTTTTTTCCCTCATTAAACATGTTGCTATATTCGAAACTTCAGATCATATTTAACGTAACGTTCCCCTGGTTTCTTATGATTTGAATCTTGTGTAAAATGCATCATATATTCGCTTTAATGGTGTGTACAGCTGAATTATTTTTTGTGGTGAAATGAAACTGATGAAATAACTTTGCTTATTGTTGTATCAGGGGATTGCCAACTACGTGCTATGGAAACGCCAAACGGTGCCGGAAAAGAGGAAGAAAATCAAAGGCGAGGCAGAAATGGCCTTCAAAGAAGCCACATCCGCGGATCCCGGAGACCATCTCCCCATTTTTTACCTGGCCCTTCTTGCTGCCCAATCCCGAAAACTAACGGAAGCCATGAAGCTCGTTAAAAGTGCCTTGTCCCGGCGCAATGCTCACCAGCCATCACTGCATCTCCTTGCCCTGATTTTATCCGCCACGAAAGAATATACGGAGTCGTTATTCTTGACTGAAGCAACGCTGAAAGAGTATCCGACCTCGCTTCCGCTGCTTTACTTGAAAGCCACTTTGGAAGAAAAGGTCAGAGGTGGAGAAGCTGCTTTAATGACGGCCAAGGAAATGTTGGCACAATGGAGAGCAGTTTTTGAAGACCAGCAACAGGCTGCTGTAGAGTCGTCTGGACAGAATTCTTCCAGTCCGCAATTCAACCACGAAGACTCTGGATTAGACTCATTGTCATATTCTGGGGATACTTTGGACAAGGATAATGCTTCCATCAGTGGAAGCGTTGCAGTGGTAAGTTAGTTTGACCCTTTAAAACGCAGTAAAAAAATTAGTTCGCGAATTGAGTAAATTTAAAGAATCGAAGGGGGCATTCAAATAAATTGAAAACAAATGTTTATGTGAGCTGTATTTAATTAATGTTGATGCAGCAATTGTGAACTTGTCGCACAAAGAAAGATCGACTGACCTAGATGATGTTCCATTGCTCAGGTAATTCAGCCAACTTGAGTTAACATTATCTAACCTAGTCTAAAGTAAACTTAGACATGATGACATGAGAAAAACAAAATCATGCTCAACCAAGTAATCTTAATGAAAAATAACGTAATTACTTACTGGAATGACCAGAGGAATGAAATCCCTACAGCAACATTCACTTCTTGCAGGTCTTTTTTTATTTATTTATTTAGAATTATTTTTTTGCCTAGTTCAATAAAATATGCAGATGTGGAATATTTTCTGATCGGATATTTCTTTTCGTTGTCAGGTGAGTCAAGTGGAAGTTGCCCTGTCGGAAGTGGCGTCATCGCTCTCAAGCTATCAACCGAAGCCAGGTCCACAAGGAATTTGGATGATACAGGTTCAAGTCTGGCTCCTAACCGCAGAACTTTATTTGCGTATGAATCAACACGAATCCGCGCTAAACTGTGTGACAGAAGCTTCAGTCATCATGCCACTTAGTCATTCGACCCTGTGTACTCGTGGGCTAGTTCATCAAGCTCGTGGAGAACTCCAAGAAGCCAAGCACTGTTTCCTCAACGCTATTGCCATGAATCCTTTCCATGTCCGGAGTATGGAACACTTGGGGTTGGTCTATCTAGCCCTGGGCAGCCCCAGGTTAGCGGAACAGGTTTTGAGAGAAGCTGTGGTTCTGGATCCGATGGATCATGCCGTGTGGAATGCACTGGGTCGGGTTTTGGACAATGTGGGAGAGCATGAAGCAGCTGCGGATTGTTTAGCTTCGGCGTTGGATTTGGAGAGTTCTGCCCCAGTGCTTCCGTTTTCAACTGTGCCGCTTTGTTTCGAATGAATTCTTTATTTTTGTTCTTCGCGAACAATTTTTTTCTGTGTTGGCGGTTCCAAAGTGTTCTTCAGCTATATTCTGAACGCCCTCTAATCAAAGCTTGTTGTCAATGGTAGAGGTTCGATTTTTGGTTCGATTATGACAGAAAATTATTTTCGAGATTTGTTTGGATTTCATAGGATTGATCTGTGTGGCCTTACGTGTTTTGAATATTTCCGGAATTTTCTTCTCTTGTTGATTTGAGAGGACCAAACGCAAGTGAAGTCTCATGTTCACTTCCCAGTGTTATTGCGACATTAGTAACCTTTCCATGCAACGATAGTGATCTATTGGATGTTCTCAACGTGATCATATATCCTTAATGAATTACGCTATGAGTCTGATCCTCATGCGAAGTCAAGAAAAAATATTCACTCGCTATATCGTTGAGTTCATTGAGGACGTGTGTTGACATTGCTGTACCTTAATTTATTACAATATTCAGGTTGTTTACGATGTTGGAATGGGAAATCGGAATCCTAATTCAGTTTATTTTTAACAAGTCATGGATGCAAATTGTGCCCAGCCACACCTGGGCATCCTGTGCATTTTTCTAGACTTTTTTTTTTAATTCTATGATTGGAGCTAGTTAAATTTTAAGATATTACATCTCTCACTGGTAAGTTCACCCATTGTGGGTGGGCCACAACTGGTGCATGAGCAGAGATTTTAAGGTGGAAGCAGGGGTTTTTATGCCACACCCAGACATTGTTGGAAAACATTTTAGGAACTTCTAACAGCTTACATATAATGCGCTTTAGATTGAGTGCCCAGCTGTTCTTGCAAAGATTTATGAGTTTTTTCATGGTGAGAATAGGTCACATGTTCAAGGTCACTGATTGATTGAGGACAATGCCTCAGTTACTTGTGGCCCTGCAGGTCCAGTGATTACACTTACAAGAAAGCCAATACATACGTTAAGCTGACTCAACAATAATGGTGTCAACAATAATGCCAAAATCGTTGAGTCAGCCTAACGTATGTATTGGCTTTCTGGCTTTTGACAACAAAAGCTGTTGATTCCAGTTTGAGAGCTAGTGAGAAAATATGTTTGGAACACATGATGTGGGGGCATTCCAAAATTTTGCTAATGAGCTCATCAATTTTTTTTGTGTGTGTTTTTTTTAAAACTTATTCCCAAGATGGTTACCATTGTTATGCCAACGTTTTCGGCATGTGTTGCGGGGTTCATTTTATTATGGGGGAAATTATCCTGCTTTGCAGCTGGATTCAGGAGAAACTGGACCAGCGAGGAATGAAGCATTGCGAACCAAATTCTAAGACTTGAAGGATTTTGGGGTTTGGTTGGGTTTCTGATTTTATCAAGATACCAAAACGTTTGGATGTCTCTGACGTAAAGATGATCATTTGTTCGTGTTGAGAAAACGTTCGAATTTAATATCATGTGAAGTCAATTCTTGTAGCGAAAGTTAGTTCAGCTTTTCAGAATTCATATTTCTTGGTATGCGGACATTTTTAAAACGATGAGCAGAAGCATGAAAGGAAAAAAATATCTTCTGTATCCAGAAGCAATTCAATTACATTTTCGTTACAGCATAAAATTCAGATTTTTATTTTCTATATCTGAAAATCTATGTTTGGGCAATCGCCTGTGTTCTCCAGAATTGTGAAGCATCCAAAATTGTTGGTGTCTGAGGCATGATGAAATTCCATACAGACCCCAATCAGCCCTCGGGAATGATTCTTGTGCTGTTTCATTATTGATTTTTGCTCGATTTTTCCAGATAGAGTATTTCGAACAAAAGTTATGAGTCATCCGGATCGATACGATCGTGAGCGTCGTGCGAATCGTTCGCGTAGCCGAGAATCGCGCGGACCACGACAACATGACGACAACGAGCCCCGTCACAGTGACGATCGCAGACGTCACTACGACCGTCGACACAGAGAGCGTTAGTGTCGAAACCCAAAAAAATCATAAAAAATGTATACATGTATGAGACGCTGGCTTCAAAGCCATTGTGCAGAAAGGGAAAAATTTGCCCGACTTGCGTTTGCTTTGGTGTGTGAAACGGCGTCAGTTTGCTTTCTCTTACACGGGCGACAGACGGACGGACGAGTCGAGACGAAGATCGTGGCAGTTCTAGACGAGCCAGGGAGAAGGAGGAGAAGGAAGAGGAAGTTCAGAGGAAGAAAAGGGAGGAAGAAGAAGCGAAAAAGCCAAAGGGGATTTGTCTGACGCTGAAACCTACTGCCGCGTCAACGGGGGTACGAGAATGTTTTTCTTTTACGAAGTCTCCAAGGGTTTTCTGGTATATATTTTTAGTTAATTTTGCGGTACTTGAGGATCAAAAGATGAAGATGAAGCACGCTGATACCAGTACTTACGCGATTTACGGCTGAGTACTTTCTGCAAGAACAAAAAGAAAACGTGGACTCGGCTCGAAATATTTTTATGGGAGATGCGCTGCCGTTTTACTCATAGAAACCGATTATGTTTTCCCATTGCCTCTAGTAGTCTTTTAATCTATGACATAAAACGAACCAGTTATTCTCTGGTGAATCTTTTTTTTTTTTGTTGACGAAAACGTTCATCAGTGCATAGACCGTTCTTTTTTTCGAAAATTATTCAGAATTTTACTTGCGTTTGTTGCGGGGATTTTTGTCCATTTTACGCATTACTGTCCACAACGAATCAATGGATACGGAAAGAGCAATCACTGAGAAAATATTCTTACTCAATTTTTAAATGCACGGAATCCAAAACCAATTGTTTTACGGACAAAAAATAACGGGCGGCAAACGACTAGCTTGCATGCGTGAATCGACGTTCGTGATTCTTAAAAATGCCCTGGGAAGTCCCGGTCTGTAAATGCGATTTAGATGATAACCTGAAGGGTAGAACGGGTATGATTCAGTGGCTTAGAAAGCAAATGATCAAGTTACAAAAATTTGGGGGTCCCAATCGTATTTTTTCAGCGCGGAAGGGACCACATTTTTAGGAGTTCTCAGCCGTGATTGTGTCGGAAGTTAGGCCCTCCGTTGAAATTTGAATGTGAATCGACTTCACTTTCGTATTTAGAACAATTTGAAAATTTACTTTTGTGGATTTTAATCACGGATATTGTTTTGTTTTTTTCAATAGAAAAGCCAAGACTCGTCTAAATTACTCGCACCCAAAGCTCTCTCGGTTGCCAAAGCATTTGGCGACGATTCAGATGAGGAAGACGAGGAAATGCCCGCTGAAGCAAAGATGCGAATGAAAAATCGTGGCAGGTAAATATTTTTACCTCAATTTCGGATGCACTTCGGTCTTCAATTCAACCCCAATTATTGGAATACAGTTGAGTTTAATTATTCTTTCGCAGGTTCACCCCAACGTCAGCTGGCCCGAATTCATACGGGAAAACCAAAGAAGGATTTTCGGACAGGAAAGCTCTTTTCGAACGCGATCTGGAAAACAAAGCGAAGCGGTTTTCCTGAATTACGTTTCTGGAAGATGAGAAATCACAAGATTCCGTGATGCTGGAAGATTTTTTTGCGTGTGTTTGTGTGTGCGCGCCATGTATAAACAAACATTTTTATTATCACATTGGCTCTTTCATTAATTACTGAATGACACATTTTTTTGCGTTTACTGCTGTGATTAAATCGGTAGTATCGCATTTGGTAACGAACTGAAAGAAAAAATCAAAGTCGATATTTTGACGCAGAAACATTCTTACACAAACACTGTAATACCATTCAGCATATGTTATTCACCAAACTTGAATGCCCTGGCTCCTATTGTAATTTTTTTTTTTCGAATTAAGATGCAGTACGAGGGTTGTCCTAGTTGGACGCGACCTGATATTTAAAATAAAAAATCGTGAAATGGCGAATGAAGTTCCAAGGTTCTGTGATTTATTTCCGGATTTGAAACATGTTTTCCAATTTACTGCATAATAAGAAGTGAAAACTTCCATCTGTTACAGCTGGAGTTCTCCAACTGTTTCACAGGATGCTAAAAAGTTCTCATGTATATTTTACACCCATTATAAAATGTATGTGTGTAAACGCCTTTGTTTTGTTGAGGCCTGCTAAACATTTTTTTAGCTGGCCTAAACAAAACTGAGTTGTTCACACCCATTATATTTTATGTACATTCATTTTATCTGCAAGGAATTGATCTGCAGGGCTGTATTTTAGTTTTAAAAAAGTCTCATCCTTTTAGCTGAAAGTATATCCTGAGAGAATTGTTCAAAATGTTCTTGAATTAATTTTGTGTATATAATAAACATGTTGGCTTATCTTTTCAGAACAATCTGATGCCATCAAGTTTTGTTATTGCTGGTCTATATGACATAAATCCTTAGCAGCTGCCAAGCAAGAATGTTCTTGATGCATTCATTTATGATAAATTTCTCTGAAATTAAATTCACACCAAAGCTCTTGACTTATCTTGTTCTGAAGTCATTTATTTTCTATAGCACCCCACGGATTATATTTTGTGTGTACATGTACATTATACCAGTATTGAAATAGTTTCCCTCAAAATTTCAGGACAGATTTTTTATATTTCTAGGCACAACTGTATTAAAAATTCACAACTTTTCAATTGTTTTCTTCCAGATGAAGTGACCAGTATCTAATGAAGGGCATATTTCTGATGCATGTCAAAAACGTTTTTCACCAGATTTTCGTTCATTTTAGATCATGGTTAAAACATAACATTTTTCTTGGCTATAGACTGACAATTTTTGCAGTTTTTCATGATTGAAGACCACTGTAAGTCTGTAACTGGAAAGTTTCCACAGACCATCATGCAGTAAATTGAGAAAAGCTTCACTTAAGTCCGAAAAAATCCTAGAACATTAAAACATCATGGATATGCCATTTTTTGTATATGTTTTACAATCACGCCCACTCTAAAAATATCAGAGGTCGCGTCCAACTGGGACATCCCCCTTCTTGAAGACAGATAGGAAAACAGCTGTACAAGTACGTTTCGGACTGCAAGCATAAATCCTTCAGAATGATTTAATGCTGATATTTTCCTCGACAGATGACAGCGTCGTGGGAGTTTCTTATTATACTCTCTCTCCATCAGAGCACTGCGTCTCATTCGCGCCTCGCTAAATTTTAGCAAATTCTCATTGACGTCACGAGCATGTCGGTCCACATGACGCCCGGAAATGCCAAGTACCCGGGCCGTGGTTTTTCCCAGCAGACAATCCGGGATCGGCGTGATTGCGTGTGATAAGGGAATGATAAAAAAAAAGCACGAGAAACCACGCAATAGAAACTGTCGACGACGAATAAGGTGCAAAACGGGGAAAAAACGCAGATACGAAGGAACTGTCTGTGCTGATTTCTTATTATTCTGACCAGAAACCGCTTGGGCGCTTGGGCATCAGTACAGGGTGAATGAAAAGTGAAAACAATGGGTCGTTAATCCACGTCCTCGTCGGGGTGTGTGTGATGACGTGTGTCGTCTATTTTTATTTTTTTGTGAAATGAAATTGGCCGTCATGTGTGATGCACTCAAACCGCTTTTGGAAACATGTTGCCGGAAATTGGGGGGTTTTTCCCCGACCCTTTCTTTCCTGTTAATGAAGAGAGCGAGTGAAGTTTTATTGGTATCGCCGTCTGCTCATAAATATTACTTTCATCATTTTATTGAGATATATTTGTGCCTGATAAAATTTAAGAGGTGATTGCTGAGGAGAAAAACTGTTTTTGAAACGCAGTTCGCAATAAAAAAAAGTGGACTCTCGTCAATACATTGAACTTGTCTGCAACTACAGTCAAACTCCAGTTAACGAACTTAATTCGTTCCACGAACTGGTTCGTTAACCGGGGTTTGACTACTACATTTTCTCTGTATAACGCTTTTTTTTTTGGTTCCATCCATAGGGTCATCTTCCAATATTACATAGGAGGTTTTTTAGGATAAAATTCTCTCCACAGTGAAACTCTTTTTGGTCCCTCATCGAATTTTGTTGTAGAAAGAGTCCCCTTATTGTTCCTTGTGGAGCACTAAAAATATAATGTAATTATTCTGTTCCAGGGTGAGCTTTGTTATGCAAAAGCATGATTTTATTCTTTCATGTTCTTGATAGAACTTGAGAATCCGTGTACAGTATTTGTGTGTGCCTCATCTGACATTTTAATATTTTTCAGCTTTTGACTGTCTGAAATTTAAAAAAAATTACGGCGCCATATAAAATACAATGCAGTAATTAATTTTTCCCTCTCTTCCAATGTTTGCGCTTAGAAGTATAAATCACAAGTTGGAACTTGAAACTTGATAATTCATGTTCAAGAAAGTATGTTGGAGAATTGTTTTTTTTTCAGGGTTTCACGTTTTTTGGCAGTAAAAATTCTGTTCTTCAAAATTCTTGCTGCTGTGAGAGTATTTTTTCATGCACTTACGCATTGAAAAGTTAATTCATACAAGTCCCTTTTTGTAGCCAAAACTCCAAGACAAGCAAAGTTAAGGCCCATTTTTAATGCTGAAGGATGAAAATTCTTCATAATGAGCTTTAAAAAAATTGTGGCTGTATATACAAGAGGGACCTCGAAATAAATTATTTCTAATTAGTATAATTACTTGTAATGAGATTCAGCGGAACAAGATTTCACTGTATACAGGATACATTTCGTGGAAACTTGGTTAATATGGAGCCTGAGGACATTTCAACCCGGAATTCAAAATGTTGCCTTCTCACTCATGATGTGATCTTGTTATCCTTGTTTCGAACGGATGACATCTGAAATGAAAGGAAATTAGAATTTCATTGCGGCACACGCAATAAAAGCCGATGTCAAATTTAGAAGGGTGTCTTCGGAGCGGAAAGTTGCTCGACCACAAGAGAGACTCTTCCTTTTGCTTTCATCCGGGGAAAAGTTCCCAGCACTCTTCTGACGAAAATAAAAGTTGATGGGTTGTGTCGTGTGAAAAAAATGAAATAGCAGCGATATTTTGCGCTAAATGACAGGCTTTATGATACTTTTGTTGCATGTTTTTCGACGGGATCTGTCTGGTTGAATAATTGGCAGTTCAGCATCAGCACAAGCTTTATTACGAAACACTGTTTCGCATCTTTCGAATAAGTATGTTCAGGTGGAACATTATACAGGTCTTGTCATCGGATATTTCATTTTTCTGTTCCTAATACTGTTATCTGGACATTTTTATAATGTTGCGCGCACAGTTTTGATCATTGCAACACAGGTTTTTAAAACGCAACCTTTTAATTTATTTTAAATATTCTAGAAGAGTTTTGCTCAACTGATGTTGAGGAAGTGTGCATCCTTTTATAATTGAGAATAATAATTATGTTATGCAAACATAATTACTGTAACATTTTCAAACATAAATAACTTCTTGATCAATTGACTCTTCTGTAATTGAGAATTTGTTTTTTTTTATCATATATCATTCAGTAAATTGTGAACCATTTTTAAACGTCTGAAAAAATTCCGGAATCTTATGGGATATGTCATGATTTTTTTCAATCGCACCTATACTCTGAAAATATCAGAGCTAGGACGCGTTCAACTGGGACAACCCCTGTATGATGAAAGTACCTTTTGATCAATGCGTTTCAATGAAACCGGGGAAAACCTTTAAACTTTTTTTTTAATTCCCAGTCCCCTATCAGAATTTTGGCAATGCATCTTAATGAAAAACTATTGACAAAGGTGAATTCTTTGCATACAGTCTATATAAGAAGGAAGGAAACAAAACCAAAACAAAAAGAAGGAATTGATCTGCAGGGCTGTATTTTAGTTTTGAAAAAGTCTCATCCTTTTAGCTGAAAGTATATCCTGAGAGAATTGTTCAAAATGTTTTTGAATTAATTTTGTGTATGAAAGAAAAATGTTGGCTTATCTTTTCAAAACAATCTGATGTCATCAAGGTTTGTTATTGCTGGTCTATATGACATAAATCCTAAACAGCTGCCAAGGAAGAATGTCCTTGATGCATTCATTTATGATAAATTTCTCTCAAATTAAATTCACACCAAAGCTCTTGACTTATCTTGTTCTGAAGTCCTTTATTTTCTATAGCACCCCATGGATTATATTTTGTGTGTACAGTATACCAGTATTCAAATAGTTTCCCTCAACATTTTAGAACAGATTTTTCATATTTCTAGGCACAACTGTATTACAAATTCACAACTTTTCAAGTGTTTTCTTCCAAATAAAGTGACAAGTATCTAATGGAGGGCATATTTCTGATGCATGTCAAAAACGCTTTTCACCAGATTTTCGTTCACACAGGTGGAGTCTGTACAACAATATTGTCTACAATGTTTTTTTCAGTATATATTTTTTTGGCTCAAGAGGGTTCTCTTTTCACTTAATGATAGATCTTCAGAACAAATTTTTCAGCAGACTTGATGCATTGAAGTTGCACTGATCACTTTCCCCAGTGAAATCAATAACATTTTCTTTTAATTTTGGGAAATGCCCGCGCCAAACAACAATAAAAAGTTGCAGAATACTGTATGTAGCTCTTATGTCCAAATCCTGTTTTAAAGAGGTTCTCTACAATGAAATTCTCTCTCCAAAAATGTTTTTTTTATCCCTTGGAATTTTTTT